CCCCTGAGCACCGCCAGGAGTAACTCCTGAGTGCAGAGCCAGTAGTAACCCCTGTGCATCGCCGGGTGTGACGCAAAAAATAAATAAATAAATAAAAGAATGCAGGTATTTTTTCCACCCATGTTGCTGATTGCTAAATAGTCTGATCATGACATTGAATTAATGTCTATTTTTTTTCATGTGCCGTATCTACTCTGAAACCATCTTGGTAAACTTACCCCGACAGTGCAAAGTTAGCATTCTTCAGGGTCACTGTCACTGTCGCTGTCCTCCTGTTGTTCATCGATTTTCTCGAGCCGGACCAGTAAAGTCTTCATTGTGAGACTTCATTGTTACTGTGTTTGGCATCTCGAATACATCACGGGTAGCTTGCCAGGCTTTGCCGTGTGAGTGAGATACTCTCGGTAGCTTGCCGGGCTCTCTGAGAGGGGCGGAGGAATCGAACTCGGGTCGGCCATGTTGGCTGCGTGCAAGGCAAACGCCTTACCTGCTGTGCTATCGCTCCAGCCCGTTCTTCAGGGTAATGCCATGTTTCACTTAAAATTGACTTATATCCTGCTTAGATAGAGACATCTTCAGAAATCACTGCCACTTTGAATGACTGTTCTGTGATTTTAAAAAATAACAATAATCTTAACAAGGATTATTCATAAAAACTGTGGTAACCTAGAGAGATGTGAATAGGGATTAAAGCATATAATTCTTCAAAATATATCTAATAATTAGGTTACCATATATATCTTAAAATGAGACATGAATGCTTAAACTTCCTATGAAACCACAGAAACATCAAAAACCATTAGTGGCAATGCATTTGGCAATATACAGAAAACTTCCATTTGAAAATACTCTTTAAAGGTACTTCAGGGACAGTGGGGGCACAGCTCTGAGCCCTCATCCGGAGCATGTATTCCAGACCTCTGACCCATCTTCAGCAAGACCGATGCTGAGTGCAGAGCCATGAGTAAGTCCTGGACACTGCTGGGAGTGAGCACCCCCCCATCCCCGCCAATCCCCCCCAAAAGAATTATATTGAAGAGGGTGTCCATATTTGAATTTAGGGGCAATACAAGCATAGTATTTATTTCTAGAAAAATTCTTTTAAGATATATTTACTGTTGCTAGTGACCAAAATACAAAGACAGTCTACAGAATGGGAAAGGATATTCACCGAATACACATCTGACAAGGGGTTGATATTCAGGATATACAGAATACTGGTTAAACTCCACAAGAAGAAAACATCCAACCCCATCCAAAAATGGGGCAATGAAATGAACAGAAACTTTCTCAAAGAAGAAATCCGAATGGCAAAAAAGCACATGAGAAAATGCTCTACATCATTAATCATCAGGGAGATGCAGATCAAAACCACAATGAGATACCATCTCACACCTCAGAGACTGGCCCACATTCAAAAGAACAAAAGCAACCGATGCTGGCGTGGATGTGGCGAGAAAGGGACACTCCTTCACTGCTGGTGGGAATGTCCACTGGTTCAGCCCTTCTGGAAAACAGTATGGACGATTCTCAAAAAATTAGAAATTGAGCTCCCATTTGACCCAGCAATACCACTCCTGGGAATATATCCCAGAGAGGCAAAAATGTATAGTCGAAGTGACATCTGCACTTGTTTATTCATTGCAGCACTCTTTACAATAGCCAGAAACTGGAAGAAACCTGAATGCCCAAGAACAGATGACTGGTTAAAGAAACTTTGGTACATCTACACAATGGAGTACTATGTAGCTCTTAGAAAAGATGAAGTCATGAAATTTACATACAAGTGGTACAATATGGAAAGTATCATGCTAAGCGAAATGAGTCAGAAAGAGAGGGATAGACATAGAAAGATTGCATTCATCTGGGGGATATAAAGTAACAAAGTATGAGATTAATACCCAAGAATAGCTGAGATCAGCACCAGGAGGATTACTCCATAACTTAGAGGCCAGCCGGGTATCCTAGAGGAAAGGGCAGTTCAGATAGAGAAGGGAGCACCAAATAAAGGATGTTTGGAGGATCCTCCCAGGAGGGGAGATGCATGTCGAAAGTAGACTATGGACTGAACATGTTTGCCACTCAATGCCTCTTTTGCAGACCACAACACCCAAAAGGAGAGAGAGAACACAGGGGATTGCCCTGCCACAGAGACAGGGGGGGTGGGGGGATGGGGGTGGGAGGGATATTATCCATGGTGGTGGAAGATGGGCACTGGTGGAGGGATGGGTATCTGATCATTGTATGATTGAAACCAAAGCACAAAAAATTGTAAATCTACAACTTTTTAAAAAAATAAAATAAAATAAAGGGAAAAAAATAAAATAAAATAAAATAAAGGGAAAAAAAAAAAAGAAAAGATGAAGTCATGAACTTTACATACAAGTGGTACAATATGGAAAGTATCATGCTAAGCGAAATGAGTCAGAAAGAGAGGGATAGACATAGAAAGATTGCATTCATCTGGGGGATATAAAGTAACAAAGTATGAGATTAATACCCAAGAATAGCTGAGATCAGCACCAGGAGGACTACTCCATAACTTAGAGGCCAGCTGGGTATCCTAGAGGAAAGGGCAGTTCAGATAGAGAAGGGAGCACCAAATAAAGGATGTTTGGAGGATCCTCCCAGGAGGGGAGATGCATGTCGAAAGTAGACTATGGACTGAACATGTTTGCCACTCAATGCCTCTTTTGCAGACCACAACACCCAAAAGGAGAGAGAGAACACAGGGGATTGCCTTGCCACAGAGACAGGGGGGATGGGGGGATGGGGGTGGGAGGGATATTATCCATGGTGGTGGAAAATGGGCACTGGTGGAGGGATGGGTATCTGATCATTGTATAATTGAAACCAAAGCACAAAAAATTGTAAATCTACAACTTTAAAAAAATAAAATAAAGGGAAAAAAAAAAGATATATTTACTGTTGCTTAAAAATCTTACTGTCATTGTATTCTAAATACTACCACATCGCCCTCTAGAGTTTCATTTTTATATTTTTCCATCTTTTAGATATTTTTTGAGAAACTCACCAGGGATGGAAAATAACAATTCTTAAATACATCTGTACCACTGTAGCACTGTCCTCCCGTTGCTCATCCATTTGCTCGAGCGATCCCAGGAACGCCTCTATTGCAAGACTAGTTGTTACTGTGTTTGGCATATCGAATATGTCACGGGTAACTTGCCAGGCTTTGGCATGCGGGCGAGATACTCTTGGTAGCTTGCCGGGCTCGCCGAGAGGGGCGAAGGAATCTAACCTGGGTTGGCTGGGTCTGCCAGGTCTGCCACGTGCAAAGCAAATGCCCTACTCTCTGGGCTATCGCTCCAGATACATTAAGATTATTTTTAAGTGTCACCTGATTCTTCAATATGTTGAAGAAGCTGGATGGGAGCTTCTAAAGAGCAAGGCTGTTTTTCATCAGATGGGTTGCCTTTCTAGAAACCCTGTTAGAAACGCTGAGGTCCTATGGCAAGCAGCTTCAGTGGAAGAGAGGAGGGGTGCATGCCATGCCCGGGTCAAGTTCAGGTGAGAGCTTCAACATGAGGCCACAGGAGAAGCTGGAACTCCCGAGTTCGCTTCTGAAGGGGCACCACACAATGATCAGGGAGGGCCTTTAAAGTCGACAGGTGACAAGATGAGCTTCGGACAAGCAGGTCTGTTCTCTGGGGACCAGGTGTGCACTCCACAGAAGGCCTAGCTCATGGTGGTGATGTGAGACACCCTGAGGAGACAGCTCTAGGGAAAGCAGCCCTGTGGCCAGCCTGAGTTTGGGAGCAGCGTGGGTCCTGCATGTGTGCAGGAACTCATGTGGCTGTAGGGAGATCACGCCCATATCTGGGACAGTGCCACGCTGCAGTGGTAATCAGGCCTGTGTCTGGAGGATGACCTGGCTACAGTGGTGATCATGTCTGTGTCCGCAAGGTGTTGTGGCTGCAGTGGTCACGTCTGTGCCTGCAGGTGACTGGAGGTCAGGTCTGTGTCTGGGGTGACCTGACTGCAGTGGTCACGTCTGTGTTTGCAGGTGACCCGAGGTCAGGTCTGTGTCTGGGGTGACCTGGCTGTAGTGGTCACATCTGTGCCTGCAGGTGACCCAAGGTCAGGTGTGTGTCTGGGGGTAACGTATATGCAGTGGTCACGTCTGTGCCTGCAGGTGACCCGAGGTCAGGTCTGTGTCTGGGGTGACCTGGCCGCAGTGGTCACGTCTGTGCTTGCAGGTGACCCAAGATCAGGTCTGTGTCTGGGGTGACCTGGCTGCAGTGGTCACATCTGTGCCTGCAGGTGACCCGAGGTCAGGTCTGTGTCTGGGAGTAACGTATATGCAGTGGTACGTCTGTGCCTGCAGGTGACCCGAGGTCAGGTCTGTGTCTGGGGGTAACGTATATGCAGTGGTCATGTCTGTGCCTGCAGGTGACCCGAGGTCAGGTCTGTGTCTGGGGGTGTCATGCTGCAGTGAACGTCACGGCTGTCCGGACGCGACCTGACTGATGCAGTGAAGACCAGGCCTGTGTCTGGGCGGTGACGTGCTGCCGTGGAGGCCATGTGGGACTCCCAGCGGCTTCCCTCTCTTGGAGCCACGGTCGTCGCAGAACCAAGCCGGCTCCGGTTCAAAGGAGAAAACGAGCGCGGGAGCCCGTTCCCCGGCCCGGTGAGGGCCGCAGGGGCAGTCAGACCAGGGAGAAGGCCTCCCGGCAAGCCCGGGCCCTAATCCCCACCTGGCACACGCACAGGGTCCGCTGCAAGCCTGTCGGGGCGGCGACGCGAGGAGGCGGCCTCAGGGACCAATGTGCATCTCGCCCGCCACGGCCACGGCCACGCCCCCGGAGCCACCCTAGCCACGCCCCCGAAGCAACCTGGCCACGCCCCCGGCGCGCTCCTAGCCGCTTCCCCGACGCTCTCGTAGCCACGCCCCCGGCGCGCTCCTAGCCGCGCCCCCGGCTAGCGCGCCCCCAATGAGCTCCTAACCACGCCCACGCCACGCCCCCGAGCGTCTGTGCCGGGGCGGCCCCGCGTGCCCGGATGTAGGCACCGCGGACACAGCGCGCAGACATGGCCGGCCAGGTAGCTGCTCCTCGCGCCCGAGGCCCAGCAGGGGCCTGGGCGCGCTCTGCACAGACCCCGGGCGGGGGTCTCGCGCGCGTGCAGGGTTCCGGGGCGCGGGCGGGAGGCCCAGGTGCGGGCGAGGGGCCTGGGCGTGCTCTGCACAGACCCCGGGCGGGGGTCTCGGGTCCCCGGTGCGAGCAGGGGGCGCGGGCGCGGTCCCGGACGCGGGCGGGGCGCCCGGTGCGCCTGCACAGCCCTCGGGAGGGGGGCCCGGGCGGGGGTCTCGGTTCCCGAGTGAGGGCCAGGGTCCCGGGCTCCCGGCGCGCCCGCACGGCCTGGCCCCGCCCCGCGCGCCCAGAGCCCACCGTCTCCCGCGTCCGCCGTCGCCCCCCGCCGGATCACTCTGTCCTGTAGTTCCTGCTCTTGTGCTTGTCGGGGTGGGGTGGCATAGCCCAAGGTGGGCTGGCACAGCCCGCTGGGGTCGCTCCCTAGGCTGGGGACCCTCTGGGGACCGAACGGACCCGGGTCGGACCGAGCCAGGCCTTTTCCGCCTCTCGCCGGCTCCACCTTCGTGCACCGGGTTTGTTTCGGGTCACACCTAGCGGTACTCGGGGTCACTCCTGGCGTGCTCGGTGTCATTCATGACGGTGCTCAGGATCACTCCTGACGGTGCTTTCTATGGTCCTGGCCTTAAGGGTTTTCAGGATCAAACCAGAGTGGGCAGCGTGAGGCCAGGGCCTTACCGGCTGTACTAGCACTCCAGCCCCCTGAAAGCACTTTTTAAAGTTTCTGGCTTTAAAGGCTACCTCCGATGAGCCCAGCGACGTGTAACCTTTATTCTGTCAACACATTTCATAAGTGTTAGGTAAAGTGACAAGGACTTCCCCCATGGCACTTGGTTATCTAACTGTGCAGGGCATCCTGACTAGACTAAGTCACGGCAATGCTGTAGAAATAAAATGAACCACATTGAAGTGCCATTCAGTTGGGTCAGTGGACCGGATAGAGTCCAGGGGCAGGACACTGCAATACATGAGGCACATCTGGGTTTAATCCCTGGTGCTGCCCAGTGCCTGGAGTGGCCCTGAGCTCCATTGGGTGGCCCCACATCAAGACCTTTTAAAAAACAAATCAGATTAAAATTTTATCCAATTATTGAAAATCAGCATATAAACTATATTTTAATGACATTGGATTTTTATTTGTTTTGTTCTGAGTCTTCAACTGTAGGCATGATTTACAATTACAGCTTATCTTATTTTTAATAACCTCTCATAACAAATGTCTACTATATATTGGACAGTATATTTAAAAGAGCTAGATACAGCACAGCAGTAGGGCGTTTTCCTCGCACACAGCCGAGCCAGTCAGCCCAGGTTCGATTCCTCTGCCCCTCTCGGAGAGCCCAGCAAGCTACTGAGAGTATCTCACCCGCACGGCAAAGCCTGGCAAGCTCCCCCTGACGTATTGGATATGCCAAACACAGTAACAAGAAGTCTCACGATGGAAACATTACTGGGCCCGCTCGAGCAAATCGATGAACAATGGGAGGGCAGTGATAGTGACAGATACCATTTTTACTCTCCCCCATTGTGATGATCCTTTGGGACTTCTTAAACCTTTCCCTGGAGTTTTGAATCAGCCTTTGTTACTTAAACCAGCCTGAGTAAAAGGATTTCATGGGGACACATTTTAAGCATTCCCGTTCCTTGGACACAGCCTGTTGTGCTGAATCCAATTCTCTTGGACCCTGGACTCTTTGTTGCTGGTTTGTAGGGTGCTAGGGATCGCCCCAGGGACAGTGCCACTGAGCTATGTCTGCTGGCAAAACCTGGATTTTTGTGTGGGCGTCAGACCAGGTCGTGGTCAGAAACCGGCCACATAGGGTGCTCCAGCGTCCCTCCTGACGCAGCTCAGAACCCTGCAGTGCTGAGGAGCAAGCCCAGGGCTCCTGCAAGCAAGCAGTGTCCCCCAGCGCCCAGAACTAGCTTCCTAGTCAAGCCCTTGAATCCCTAACCTGCTTCTGTTTAGTCAAGCTTCTTGTTCGTATTTGATACATGAAACTTCTTGAACCAAAGCAGCTTTTATATCTGACCTGATAGGTATCACAAATCTTTTCTAGTTTTTGTTGTGTCGTGTTTTGTTTTAGGAGGTGGGGTGGACTGCACCTGTTCTATGCAGAGGCTGTTTCAACTGTGTGCTAAGAGGTCACTCTGGCTGTGCTCAGCGAACCATGCTGTGCCAGGAATGAACCCAGGACCCTGCATGCAAATCATACACTCAGCACTTTGAACTATCTCTAGCCCGTGATGCAATCTTTTTTAACAACTCTTGTGTGAATTCTAAAAACAATTCTCCATTCGCTTCTGAGTGTATTTCTTTGTAACTGTAGTATATTTTCAAAGATTAAGTATTAACTAATACGTAGTTTCTTATTTGTTCAGAAAGATAAACAGTTTGCTCTCCCCTGTCCTTTCAGGTTATCAAGTGCAAGGCTGCAGTTGCTTGGGAGGCTGGAAAGCCTCTCTCTATAGAGGAGGTAGAGGTGGCTCCCCCAAAGGCTCACGAAGTTCGAATTAAGGTAATGATACATCCAAGGCTCTGAAAAGGACACTTCGATCTTCTGATGTCTGAATCCTCTGCAGAAACTAGATCCCAAAGAACAGTGTTAGGGAGCCATGGAACTGATGCCGGTGGGGACCCTGGTGGCTTATGTGAAGTGGGAGGAGAGAGGCGGCAGCCTCCTGAAGGGAATCTGCCGTTTTCTGTCGGTGAGCCTTGCTTGTAGCAAGGAAAGTCTGTCCTGGGGCTTACCCAGGCCTTTTGGGCTCTTTCCCCTCACAAAAAAAGAATTTCAGGAGGAGACAAGCAATGAAGTTCAAACAGGTTTTAGGTGGAAGTTATGCCCAGACCCCTCAGGGGTAGCCTGTCTACCTGACTGAGAATCGCCAGAAGGGGCCCCTGGCTCCTTTAGACTGCTTAGAAGGTTCCACGAAAAAAATTACATTTCCCACAGTTGGGAGGTTTTCAGCCATTTGAGTGGGCTTGCCTGCTTTCTACACAGGTAATATTCTCTATACCTGAAGGCACAGTACCCAGAAAATTGCTGTCTTCATCCTCTCTTGCCAGAATGCACTGAAAAGAGTAGATTTACCACTTTCATTGCTCATCGTTGTACCACTACTTTTTTTATGACATTAAAAGTGCTGCCAGCTCTAATCAGTACTTCCATTATCAGCACCTCGTGACTTTCAAAATATTAAAATATGAAAGCAAAACATCTTGGATTAATTGAAATACGATTTTAAAGTGAGTCTCTTTCCCTACTCTAAACTCCACTCTGAATTGCATGCATACTGTAGACACACGTGCTCTTTATTTAATGTCCTCATAGATCATTGCTACTGCCCTTTGCCACACTGATGCCTACACCCTGAGTGGGGCAGATCCGGAGGGGAGTTTCCCAGTGATCTTGGGACATGAAGGTGCTGGCGTTGTGGAAAGTGTTGGTGAAGGAGTGACGAAGCTGAAGGCAGGTAAGGGACTTCGTAGCACTTGGCTGTATATTTGGCTTATGTATCTGGAAGAGAATTCTGATAAACTGCATTTTATTTATGGGCTACATAAAATGTCAAGTGAATAGTTAAGATTGTTTTTCCTGCTCTGGGAAGCACAAATGTTTGAGCATTTTTTACTCTGATTCTTTTTTCCATATTTTAATGCTGCCTTTTATGTATGTTTAACATAACTAGTTTGAACAAAAAAGCTTAGAACCAATTGCTGGGCTGTTCTTGCCGGAAGTGGAGAGCGACTGATTGCAGTCCGGAGGTGAGGCAGAAAACTCGGAGCAGTGAAGACAATATGGCTGATATGCAAAATCTAGTGGAAAGATTGAGAAGATGGTGGGCCATCTGGAGACAGTATCCCACGCTTCTGATGTGCACTGTGGACATGGAGACAGTCCTTTAAAAGGAGCAGCTCCATTTGTACCGGCCTTTGACTCACTGCGTTCTGGTCCCAGGGCAGAATACCTGAAGATCAGTAAAGAAATTGGGGGAGATGTACAGAAACATGTGGGGATGGTCTAAAGTTGGAGCTTGCTCTCCTGGTTACAGCCTCTCAGTCAGAAGCCAGCAGGTAATAAATTTTCTGATTTGTTGGCACCCATCTCAGAGCAGATCCAAGAAGTGTTAACCTCCCGGGAGAAGAACCGAGGCAGCAAGTTGTTCAACCACCTGTCAGCTGTCAGCGAAAGTATCCAGGCCTTGGGTTGGTGGCTGTGGCTCCCAAGCCTGGTCCCTATGTGAAGGAAATGAATGATGGTGCCATGTTCTACACGAACCGAGTCCTCAAGGAGAACAAAGATGTGGATAAGAAGCACGTGGAGTGGGTCAAAGCTTACTTGAGTATATGGACAGAGCTGCAGGCTTACATTAAGGAGTTCCACACCACCGGACTGGTCTGGAGCAAAACGGGGCCTGTCACAGAAGAATTGAGTGGATTGCCATCGGGACCCTCTGCTGGCTCAGGGCTTCCCCCTCTCCCCCACCCCCCACCAGGCCTGCCTCCTCCTCCAGCCCCCACCAGTTCAGGCTCAGATGATTCTGACTCCCGCTCAGCACTGTTTGCGCAGATTAACCAGGGGGAGAGCATCACACATGCCCTGAAACATACATGTGATGACATGAAGACTCACAAGAACCTGGCCCTAAAGAAGTCAGAGTGGCCCAGTGCGCAGTGGCCCCAAACCGTTCTCTGCACCTAAACCAGGAGTCAGCTCATTCCCCAAACCAGCCACAAAGGAACCCCCTCTACTGGAACTGGAGGGCAAGAAGTGGAGAGTGGAAAATCAGGAAAATGTTTCCAATCTGGTGGTTGAAGACACAGAGCTGAAATGGGTGTCATACATATACAAGTGTGTCAACTCAACATTGCAAGTCAAGGGCAAAATTAACTCCATTACAGTGAACAGCTGTAAGAAACTTGGTCTGGTATTTGATGATGTGGTGGGCATTGTGGAGATAATCAATAGTAGGGTTGTCAAAGTTCAGGTAATGGGTAAAGTGCCAACCATTTCTATCAACAAAACAGATGCTGCCATGTTTACCTGAGCAAGAATTCCCTGGACTGTGAAATAGTCAGTGCCAAATCTCCTGAGATGCATGTTCACATTCCCACAGAAGGCCGCGACTTTAGTGAGTTCCCAGTCCCTGAGCAGTTCAAAACCCTGTGGAACGGGCAGAAGTTGGTCACCACAGTGACAGAAATTGCTAAATAAGCAATTTAATAACCATAGGTTATAACCAAATAACCATAGGTTCTCTGCCCTCGCCCTTCACACCCTGGGATAAATATGTATCGTGACGGTTCTTTTCTAGATTTCCTCTAACTTTCTGCTCTTAAACTGCTTCTCCACTTGGAGAAGCTGGAGAAGCACAGCTTCCTGCCTTCATTGAAGATTTGAGGCTGAGATTTGGGCTGGAATAGCAAGCAGTTTATCTTCTGCAGAAAGGGGCAGCTTTTCCATATCCGCTCAACCATACCACCAGTCCATTCTTAAGGACTGCACACCAGGACCGGTGTGTTTCAGCACTCAGCCTTTGGGGGGTTATTCAAGCACCAGTCCTTTGGGAAGTATGGAGTCCCCCAGGAGTTAACAGAGCAGACTGTTCACCCAAGTTATTCTTTTCCTAACAATGAGCATAAAGGTAACAGAGTCCGGTATGATTCTGACTGGTGATTCTAGTTCTCTTAACTAAAGTTCTCTTAGCTAAGTTCTCTTAACTAATTTTCTTCTGTCAATAGTTGAGACAAAGGTTGCACTGGACCAAAGGCTGAAGCTTGGCCATCTATCATTCCAAGCAAAATGGTTTCCTATAAGCATTCCTTTATTCTGCATTCCATCCCGGATCCGCCTGAACCTGAGGTATAGATTCTCCTATACCAGCTACTGGGGCAGTGCCCTGTACCCAGGCCAGTTAAGAACCTTAGACACTTTCTCTCTTGGCCTCTCTGCCTAGCACCTTCTTACAGAGAGGACCTGAGGGAAGTGAGGGACGAAAAGAACAAACATTTTTTAAAGGGAATAAAGCACCATTTCAAGCAATCAAGCATTTCTCCCATGCTATGTCGTCCTTCTTCACGCTTTCTTTGCCCTGTCTTGTTCATCAGCTTTTGGCTTCAGTCTGGGCATTTGAAGAAAGAACTAAAACCCCCACCACAGACTAGTTTTAGCTCCTATGTAAGAATCTTGCACAGCACTGCTAATGTAAATTTCAGTTTCTCCCTCTAGGACACAAAACTTACAAATATGCAACATCTTTTGGTGGGAAGAGACACTGTCCTGTGACTTCTACCCATTTACTGAGGCCTGTGGAAATAAACCTCTATGTACTTAAAATTATACAGAAAATAGAATAAAATTAACACCAAGAAAAAAAAAGCTTAGAACCATAGGATATTCATGAAAGTGAATACTACTCATGCTTTATAGCTTGTATTTATTCAATTTTTCCACCACACACCACACACAAAGACCCCCTACACACACACACACACAATCTACTCGGAAGATCACTTATTGATTGATCTGTTGTTAATGGAAACTCTTTGTGAATTGATGTCACTGGTCACTGAACAGGGGGTGAGAAACTGTTACAGGAAAGGAGTTGGAGAAATAGAAAGGACAGAAAAGAACTACTAATATGATGCCGAATAAAAGAAAAAAAACAAATAAAAATATGGAGTATCACGTTTCACTCAAATGAGAAAAAGAATCTGGAGTTCCGACCTCCATTGATGATCAAGAATCAGGGACGCAGTCTCATTTGCCAAGGCATCAAAAATCAGATGGGCTGGACACATAATGAGATTTGGAGACGACCGCTGGACAAGAGCCGTTACCAACTGGATTCCACGGGACGTCAAAAGACCGCGTGGTCGCCCACCTACCAGATGGTCAGACTTCTTCCTCAAGACCCTGAATGGTTGGTTTGAGGCTCTTCGTGTTCCTAGAACGAATAGACGCCATTGGGCTACAGTAGCATACAACAGGGACAAATGGAAACGCTACTGGCACCCGCTCGAGCAAATCGATGATTAACGGGAAGTCAAGTGATCAAATAAAAATATGCAGGGGAAGCCAAATGAGAAAATAAGGATTGGTTTTGGTGTAAAAAATATCGTGTGGGGGCTATGGCTACAACACTGCATGCAGGAGACCTGGGTTAAATCCTTGGCACTTTCACGGTCCCCCAGGCACCGCTAGGCATGACGCCCAAGCATGGGTGCAGGAGTGGGCCCTCAGCACCAAACAAAAGTAATAACTATGTAGTGCATAAATGACCTGTGGGCAAGCATGACACAAGAATTTCTGTTTCCCGTTGCTGGATTCTTTAAAGGAAAGGTTGTTGTTAATAACATGAAAAGTAAATGAAGATTTGGTGGAGTTCATGCCCAATTCAATCAGTTAATCAGTGGCTGAATAAATAGCAGTACTCCTACATAAAATATTTTAAAAAAAGATGTGCAAAATAAAGGCAAGGCATGAATGATGAAGTGTTGAAGCTGGGTAATAGCTCACAGAAGTTAGCTATATTGTCCTCTCTACTTTTATGCATATCTGAAAAATCCCATAGTTTTGATTTTTATTAAAAACACCATAATTTATAAAGTTGTTCATTATACAGTTGTTTCAAGCATTTTAGTGTTCCTTTGGAAGCCTTTAAGGAGAAAATGCTTTGTTTCTGTTTAAAGAGCTTAGAGAGAGAGCGAGAGAGAGAGAGAGAGAGAGAGAGAGCCTGCCATAGTGACAGACAGGAGATGGGGGGGTAATGGGAGGGAACCTGGGGACACAGGTGCTGAAAAATATAAACTGGTAGAAGGTGGAACCACTGGGTGTTGGAATACTATATGACTGAAATCCAATCATGAACGGCTTTGCAATGCTCTAATTTTTTTTTTTTTTTTTTTTTTTTTTTGCTTTTTGGGTCACACCCAGAGATGCTCAGGGGTTACTCCTGGCTCATGCACTCAGGAATCACTCCTGGCGGTGCTCGGGGGACCGTATGGGATGCTGGGGATCGAAGCTGGGTCGGCCATGTTGGCTACGTGCAAGGCAAACGCCATATCCGCTGTGCTATTACTCCAGTCCCTAAAAAAAAATTTTTTTAAAAGAAAAAAGAAAAAAAAGAAATATTGTATGCCTAAAACAAATTAAAGCACTGTTTTGAATACAAAGGATTGATCTATCAATAAATAACTACAAAAACTACAGTAATGACATAGTTATACACCCTACCACACAAAATTGGGTTTCAAATTATTTTTATATTGTAAATCTGCAAATATTAGCACTAGTTAAAGTTACTTATCTAGAATTTTCACAACTTAAAAAAATTTTTAAAAAGAGCTTGAAAAACAAAGTAAAAGAAGGTTTGGTTTATAGCACTTTAAATGCTTACTGTGACCTTTTTTTTATTATTTTTTATTGAATCACTTTGAGACCCTTACAGAGGTGTTCATGATTAGGTTTCTGTCATACAGTGTTCCATCACCCATCCCTCCTCTGATTTTTGAAGACCGCTGTTCTTCTAAAACTCCTAACTGCATTGTAAAAGCCAATTTTATTTAAACAGAATTTTTAAAAAGATATCAGTGAATATGTTGATAAACATAACCTCATTATTATCAAGTTACTATTTTAAGGATTTTATAAAGGGCTGGAGCGATAGCACAGCGGGTAGGGCGGTCGCCTTACAAGCGACCAACATGGCCGACCCGAGTTCGATTCCTCCGCCCCTCTCGGAGAGCCCGGCAAGCTACCGAGAGTATTCGATATGCCAGACACAGTAACAACAAAGTCTCCAATGGAGACGTTACTGGGCCCGCTCGAGCAAATCGAGCAAATTTAGGTAAAGGGCTGGAGTGATAGCACAGCGGGTAGGGCATTTGCCTTGCATGCAGCCAACATGGCCGACCCGAGTTCGGTTCCTCCGCCCCTCTGGGAGAGCCCGGCAAGCTATTGAGAGTATCTCGCCTGCACGGCAAAGCCTAGCAAGCTCCCCATGACGTATTCAATATGCCAAAAACAGTAACAAGAAGTCTCACAATTTGTTGTGAGATGTTACTGGTGCCCGCTGGAGCAAATCTCTGAACAACTGGAGGACAGTGCTACAGTGCTATTTAGGTAAAAACTTTGTAATTGGGGCTGGAGCGATAGCACAGTGGGGAGGGCATTTGCCTTGCACGTGGCTGACCCGGGGGTTCAATTCCCAGCATCCCATATGGTCCCCCGAGCACCACCAGGAATAATTCCTGAGTGCAGAGCTGGGAGTAACCCCGTGCATCACCAGGTGTGACCCGAAAAGCAAGAAAAAATATTGAAATAATTTTTTGTTAGGCAGTGAATTATGTATTTATATAGGTAAAAGTTCTAAGTTTTAGAAGTTACTGATACTGCGGAGCCCACTGAGTTGTGAATTTGCAGGGGCTGATGTCCGAGACTGGTCTAGCAGCAGATGCCACTTACCCAGGATGATGCATGTGCATTTATTTTCCAGGAGATACTGTCATCCCACTTTACATTCCACAGTGTGGAGAATGCAAATTTTGTCTAAATCCTAAAACAAATCTTTGCCAGAAAATAAGGTGAGTACGTCTTTACTTAGTCCTTAAGACAAGAAGTCACGTTGATAATGGTAGTACTATGTAACTATATGGCAATTTGTTCAGAGCATTCTGCATGGAATTACTTCAGCTTTATAATGACCTCATATAAATATCATTAATAATCCACTTTCATAGAGGAGAAAACTGAGACTTATAAATAAACTGATTTCCCCGGTATTGATCAGTCTTTTAGAAAAGGAATTATTTGGGGGAAGGACCATAGACATTTCAGTTGCTCCCAATTTGGTTTTTGTTGATTTTATTTTTTTGGTCAGAACCAGTGGTGTTTCACTCTTCTTGACTTTATGCTCATGAGTGACCCCCAGCGGCAGTGCTAGGGATTCAAGCCATGGTCAACCACATGAAGTGCAAACTCCCACCCTATACTAGGCTGCTCCTACATTTAGGCTTTGTGATCAAAGTCGGAAGTGTTCTTATGTGTGTCTTGAACAAATGCGCCTCCTGAAATAATCAGCCGGTTGGTCATCTGGCTACGTGGATGTTCATCAGTTTACCTGGATATTGTTTATGTAATCTCTGCTTCTGTGTTGCCATTTGCTTTTGTGCTTTATGAAGTAAGGTTTGCTCAGTTTTATCTGATCAGGTTGTACCTGTGGAAATTATTTCAATACTCTAATAATAAGATCCAGACTGAATGTAAGACAGGTAAGATTATAAATCCTGCAAAGTTTCAAGGCTTTCTTGAATGGTACATTCACGATCACGATCACGACCACCCTGTTGTTCATCGATTGCCTCGAGCAGGTGCCAGTAACGTCTTCTTCGTCCTAGCCCTGAGATTTTTTTTTTTAAAGTGCCATATTCAAGGCTTTTTCAGGGTTAGGAGAATGAGACCCATCATTGTTACTGGTATTTGGCATATTGGGTATACCACGGGGAGTTTGCCAGACTCTGCCGTGTGGGCATGTTACATTTGGTAGCCTGCCAGTTTGACCGAATTAGGAATGAGATGATAAGATGTCGCGAGGCCGCGAATGCGGCCGCGCGCTTCCGGGAGCTGAGTGTGATAATCTCTGGATCCTGGCCGTTGTTGGAGTTACACGGCAGTTGGTGGGTGTAACTGTCTAGTTACTGGCAGGTCCAGTCCCAAACTGTATAGGCTTGGAGATCTCAGCCCCGGGTCCCACACACCTGGGTTCCTCTGTCAGTTCTTTTATGCGTGAGGCTCATCCAAGTGTGTGGAGAGTGCTCCCAGCATGGCCTTGGCTGGGCCTCGGTGGTCTTCAGCTGTTGGGCCCTGGTGGAGACAGTCAGGCATAGGGTAGGAGACTCTGTCTTGTTCTCTCCCAGGAGCTGAGTGTGATGATCTCTGGATCCTGGCCGTTGTTGGAGTTACATGGCAGTTGGTGGGTGTAACTGTCTAGTTACTGGCAGGTCCAGTCCCAAACTGTATAGGTTTGGAGATCTCAGTCCCGGGTCCCACACACCTGGGTTCCTCTGTCAGTTCTTTTATGCATGAGGCTCATCCAAGTGTGTGGAGAGTGCTCCCAGCATGGCCTTGGCTGGGCCTCGGTGGTCTTCAGCTGTTGGGCCCTGGTGGAGACAGTCAGGCATAGGGTAGGAGACTCTGTCTTGTTCTCTCCCAGGAGCTGAGTGTGATGATCTCTGGATCCTGGCCGTTGTTGGAGTGGTACATTAGAAATTAAAATTTGGTCTTAGCACGTTTGTAACTCTTTGCAGTCATCTTCTCCCCTGTGGATTTTAGGAAACCTATCTCAGTCCTGCCTTTTCCTTTTCCTTTTTTTCCTTTAGAGTCACTCAGGGGAAAGGATTGATGCCAGATGGGACTAGCAGATTTACTTGCAAAGGAAAGACCATTTTACACTACATGGGAACCAGCACATTTTCTGAGTACACGGTTGTGGCTGATATCTCTGTTGCTAAAATTGATCCTCTGGCACCTTTGGACAAAGTCTGTCTCCTGGGCTGTGGCATCTCAACTGGTTATGGCGCAGCTGTGAACACGGCCAAGGTAGAGACTGGCCTAGGCCTTAGCTCCCACCTTTAGTTAGTACAGTGAAGCTTTGCCTTGACTCATCATCTGAGATTTTATACTGTCTTTCTGTCAGGTGGAGCCTGGCTCCACATGTGCCGTCTTTGGACTGGGAGGAGTTGGACTGGCAGTTATCATGGGCTGTAAGGTGGCTGGTGCATCCCGGATCATCGGCGTGGACATCAATAAAGATAAATTTGCGAGGGCCAAGGATTTTGGAGCCTCTGAATGTATTAACCCCCAGGAGTTCAGCAAGCCCATCCAGGAAGTGCTTGTGGAGTTGACCGGTGGGGGAGTGGACTATTCCTTTGAGTGCATTGGTAATGTGAAGGTCATGGTAAGTATGCTGGGTTGTATTCCTTTTGTGGAGGAACTGCTTTTTAAATTGGAGGGGAAACGGAGCGATAGTACGGTGGAAAGATACTTGCCTCACACAAGGTTGACCCCAGGTTCGATCTCTGGTATCCCATATGGTCTCCCAAGCACTGCCAGAATAACCCCTGAGCATTGCTGGGTGTGACCCAAAACCAAGAACGAAACAAGTTGGGGGTGGGGGCATATAAGGGCGGGGAACAGAAAACACCCAATACATCAGCCGTTTTGGGACTCAGACCCAGGCTACCACATACAAGGCATATACTCCAGCCCATTGAACTACTTTCCAGGCTTGGAAATGGTATTCTCAATACGGTTTCCTTATCAAGATTAAAATTGGGGGCAGGAGCTGGAGCAATAGCACAGCGGGTAGGGTGTTTGCCTGGCACACAGCCGACCCAGGTTCGATCCCCGGCATCCCATATGGTCCCCTCAGCACTGCCATGAGTGATTTCTGAGTGCAGAGTCAAGGAGTAACCCCTAAGCATCGCTGGGTATGACCCAACAAACCAAAAAAAAAAAAAAAACAGTTGGGAGGAATGGGCTGGAATACATGCTTGTCTGCAGAAAGCCTGGGTTTTAGTCTCTGATCCTGCCTGATCCGCCTGCAAATAGACCCTAAGCATTGCCAGGTGTGACCCAAAAAACAAAAATAATAATAAAGGTTAAAATTACTTCAGCTTGGCCCATATGCTGCCTGAGCACATGTGTCACCCGCATCTCCCCTCTTGAGATGTGTACTTTCATGTTTTCGTGTCTAACTTCTCTCTCTCTCTCTCTCTTTCTCCCCCCCACTCCACACCTTAAAAATCCTCCAAATAAAATCTATTTACTTCAAAAAAAAAATAAAATAAAATTACTTCAGCTTTAAAACGAAAAGTCGCAGAAAACAAAGGAAAAATATTTGAAATACAAATTGGAAATAATACAAGAACAGCTTTGGGAAAGATGAAAAAAATGTTTCTTTGCCCTTCAGTGCACTCTGCATTCTAAGAGTTAAGTGATAGGGTAGCGTGATGCAGCTAAGGGGAACAGAATGTGGAACTAGATACACCTCCGCGCACTCAGTGGCCTCCAGAGTTCCCTGAACATAAATTTGCTCATGTGTAAAATGCATGAGGACACAGACTGAAGTATTACTTGTTATGTTGCCTTTATTGTTGCTGAAAGTTTATTGAAGTTAAGTAACAAATCGCTACACTTAGTAAACATCATCTGGTCACTTTGTTACCACCTTTTCTCTCTCCCGGAAGTTTCTAAGTGGGTTGTCTTAGAGCCGGGCTGATCTGTGTGATGACTGTCTCTGCCTGCAGAGAGCAGCGCTCGAGGCCTGCCACAAGGGCTGGGGTGTCAGCGTGGTGGTAGGAGTTGCTGGTTCTGGTGAAGAAATTGCCACTCGTCCGTTCCAGCTGGTTACAGGCCGCACGTGGAAAGGCACTGCCTTTGGAGGTAATGTGGTGCAAGAGAAATGAGTGTATTTTCTCTTTTGCTACTTCTACTGGCAAAGTTTTAATTCCAGGCTCATCTTTTTAACAAGAGTTGTTACAGGCTGTCTTATAGAAATTTATTTTAAATACACTTAAGTATTTACTCAAAAGCTGGAAAGGTGCTTTGCCTCTGAAGCTAAGAACAATTTTTACATCCTTAAAACTCAGTCACTGGGGAAGGAGTTGGGGGCAGGGCAGGAGTAAGAAGAAATCGGTCTCAGATCAACAGTTGTGTCAGCCATACTCATGTTGTGGACTTCATTGGTTTATCAGCATCTTTCCAGAGAGTGCAGTGATGGGGCCAAAGAGATGCACAGCGGGTCAGGTGTTTGCCATGTCCTCAGCCAACCCAGGTTCTGTCCCCGGACCCCCACAAGTAGAAGTATGTCACTAGCTCTATCTCTCGAGTCTTGTGACTATAAAAATCTCTTCTGTTTCAGACCAAAAATAAACTTGTTTTATGATTTCCATTGTTCTGAATAATTTTCAAGTTTCTGATACCTCTTTTAATTTTAATTCCTGAATGCACAGCCAGGAGTAATCCCTGAGCACTGCCGGGTGTGGCAAAAAGAAGACAAGAATACAGTGATCTGAGGTCTTGATCATACACCTCTCCCAAAATAGTACTGAAAATACTCGGATGAAACTTACGGCAAAGTTGAAAAATAGTTCATTTCACTCTTGTATGATCTTAAAAAGTCTGTGGTTTAGGGCCATAGAGTGCAAAGGGCTTAAGGTGCTTGTCTTGATGTGTCTCACCCACTTAGCACCCTGGCACTGCATAGCGTCCCGGAGCACCACTAGGGTGATCTGCCGGATGTGGCCCAAGCACCCCTTCCCCAAAAATCCTACTGGTAGGGGACATAAAGAGGGATATTTAAGGGGTAGAATAATTGTACAGCTGGCAGGGCACTTGCCTTACACATGGCTAACCTGGGTTCAATCCTCCCCAGCACCCCATGTGGTCCCCTGAACACTCGGGTGGTTCCTAAATGTAGAACCAGGAATAAGCCCTAAAACAGGTTTGGACTATAGTTCAGAGCAGAGCAGTAAAGTGGATCAAAGGGCTGACATGTATGCTTCACAAGAGGGAGCCCCAAGTTGAATTCCTGGCACCATATGGACCCAAAACCATCAAACAAAAAATTTAAAATGAAAGCAAGTATTTACAGCAAAAAAAAAAATCAACACATGTGAAATTGAACGTACATAGCTAAAGATCGCTGACACAGCTTTTCAATTTCACTATTTTCTATTTTGAAATACAATTTTTTTCCCTTTGCATTGTTTTGGGGGCCACACCTAGCAATAATTAGGGTTTAATCCTGGCTCTGCACTCAGGAATTACTCCTGCCAGTGTGAGGAAAATCACAGGGTGCCTGGAATTGAGCCTGGGGCAGCCACGTGCAAGGCAAGCACGTTACCCACTGTGCAATGACTCTAGTCCCCTGAGTTTTACACTTAAATATCTTTGTTTCATAATAAGCATAGTGTAGCAGTTTGTTGGAAAAATTATTAAATGTGCTTTCTTTCTTCTTAGGATGGAAAAGTGTAGAAAGTGTCCCAAAGTTGGTGTCAGAATATATGTCCAAAAAGATAAAAGTTGATGAATTTGTGACTCACAGTCTGTCTTTTGACCAAATTAACAAAGCCTTTGACCTGCTGCATGCAGGAAAGAGGTAAGCAACTTCCTTCGTTTACTGTAGGGTGGAGTGTGATTGGGGCTAAGGGAAGGCTGACGGGTAAAATACTAGATTTTGTCGTCTTAATAGCATTCAAAATCTATTCATTGTTTCCTCTGACAGCATTCGAACTGTTCTGAAGTTTTAGTCAAGAAAGAGATCCTCCTTCCCGTGCCTTAGTGGTCTGATGGGAGAGGCCAGCAGTCTTGGTCTCCGGAGCCCTCAATAACCCACTCTTGGGAATAATGTCTGTAAATTCACACATCTCTAATCAAGGACAAGACTAATTCAGTCATAAATCTGTTTTCAATACTCTACATTAATATTTTGCTAGCTAAGGAATATTCTAACACAATAAAGTCCTTTCTGCTTATGTGTGTTGTCATTAATTTTATGCTGACTTGACTCTGCGGTTCCTTGCCCCATTATCTTCATTTTTTTTAAAAAAAAAGAAAGACGAAGTGGGGTGATAGTGTCTAAACCTTTTCTACTGCCATCCTTGGTGACTGCTTCATTTTGAAGTCTCAGGCCTGTTTACTAAAGATAAGATTACCCTAGCTGTATTCTTTTTAGTAAATCTTTATATTATCTTAAACGGCAACTTGTATTAAGTGAACAATTTGTGCTCAATCTGTAGTATGCAGTGCTCTACTTAGATTTTAATATGCTACAGTATTTTTTCAGATACATGAATGTCCCTCGATCTGTTCTCCAGTTGATGCTAAGACCTGTGCACCGCCAAATATTACAGGTGTGGCCCCCCAAAAAATTTAAGAATTTTAAGTAACAGATACCATGAAGGTACATCTGAGAGCTCTAGCAAATTGGAGCTCTGTACTCTCAATTTTAAACAAACCCAATAAAACACGGCAAACAGATTCCTAAACCACCACCTCTTTAGACATGGGTGGGTGGAAAGTAGTATAGAGGAACTGGTGAATGGGTTCTTGTGTACCTGCATCCATGGTATCAGCAAAAGACAGAGTCAAAAGGCAAACTGTTTCCTTTCCAAACTACAATTTTGAGGTAGGTGGGAGCTAGTCGGCAAACCATAATTTCTAAGTTAACATTAACTTATTTTGAAAACAAACTGGACGATTAAATATCTAATTACACATAGACAATTAAACTGGGGCTCATATTTTAAATCTCCCAAAATAAAAACATCATTACCAGTTTGGTGTCAACTTCTAAGAAAAAGGCACTTCCACTGAAAGTTTTTCCCGTGAGCCTAATCTCTGAAACAGGCACTGAACAAGCTCATACTGCTATTCCACCATCACTACAAGAAATGCTGCTCTATACTCAGCATTGTCTCACCTAAAAACCTCTCAAAACTATGACTATGTTTCAAAGGCTGAGGAGTTCTGCTGAAGTTACAGGGTCCTGAAAATATCGGACTAACACTTGAAAAAAGTTTTTACTCAAATGGTCATAAGTTTATTTTAGATTATGAAATCAACTACCTCCGAAATCTCAAATGATGCAAAATTAATGAATACGTGGTACAGTTATCATTCAAACTTTTAATCGCCCTTTACACATTATATTAACATTCATCTTGCAAAGCATTCCATACACAAATATTACAGTTTGATAAAAACACACACCCCCAAAAGTCTGCCAGATTCAGTCACTTTACTAATCATTAAAATAATAAAAGTAATGAAAACATCATAATTCTTTTTAAGGTCTGAGGCACTCTGGGATAGATGTTATCTTGGTATGTCATGGTCATACCCAGGAATCAGGTACTCGGATGACAAGACTGATGACTTCCCTGGGTACATACTTCTCTTTGGACTGAACTACTGAGAAGAACATATATGGGGTAGTGGGATTATTGCCAGTGAAGTTCCCAGCTGTGTAATGGTCACCGAAGTGTGGGCCCCAGCCCCCACGAGGGAAAAGACGTCCCTGTCGTCACTATCACATTTACTCTTGTTAGAGTCGACCAACCACCTACTCACTGCTCACTGCAAGAGAGGTTGAAAATGCTTTCCCTAGAACCCACCCCAATGCAAACGCCACCCCTTTCTCTGCATCTCTCCCAATCTGCGGGTGAAAAAAAAATACAGAAGGAAGAAAGGGAGCTTTGCCCTCCACTCCAACTCGAGGTCTGAAATAGAAATGCATCATAATCTTCAAGCTCTGCAACAGTCAGGCATCACATGGAGCCTGGCTGTTATTTTTGCCATAAATTAAATGATTTTTTAAAAGAACAGCCTTTCCAGAGTGAATTCTGCCACAACCATTCACTAACACAAAGTCCACACCGAGAGAACGTCTCACTAACCACGTACTATCTTGTGCAAAGTTCTGTGAGTAAATATTTAGCAGGGGAAAGGAGGAAGGCCATTTCTAAACCGGGAGCGCTCCGTAAACGATGGTCCCTGCAGGGAACCAGAGGACCATTCTGAGCAGAATCAACACAAAAAAACCTAGGTCACAGAGTGTTCAATAATTACACATGTAGAATTTAAAATGTATACAGATCTATTTCCGTACATATATAATTTTTAAAAAATTTGCAGCAACAAATGTTGCTAAGTTTCAAAGATTCTCATCTTCAGCATTCACCCGGAAAGTCACTGGCTCCTGATGTACAGCTGTGGCAGTGATAAAAGCAACTAGAAGCGGGTTAAGTAAAAGTGCTCAAAGGAGAAACAGGATGCAGAGATCTGGGGGAGAAGGGAGCACTGGAGGAGAGGAGAAATGTTTTCTTGATTCTTCTCGGCTTTTCAGACTCGAGGACACACATAAATGCTGCAGGCCTTCCTTATCTATAGTCAAAACAAAACAAGTAATAAAAATGTCCTGGTCCACGCTGCACTCTCAGTAAAATGCATGGGACAGCAGAAGGCATCACGGAGACGTGCCGTGTCAGAAAGTAAACTAGGCCATGAAGTGGGGCCGTGTGCAGTCGAGGCGCCGTGTGAGGATCTCACAGCCATTGTCTGTGACCAGCAGGGTGTGCTCAAACTGAGCAGACCGCTTCCCGTCCCGGGTCACCGCCGTCCAGCCATCTGGCCAGGTCTCATCCTGCCAGCCACCTTAAACAGACAAAAACAATCTTTCAGTTCCTGCCATTTCGTTCTCTAAATGAGCAAATACTCCAGGGAACATGTTTGCATAGATTTCTATCCTTAAATATTACTAAAAACCAACAAGTGTGTGTGTGTGTGTGTGTGTGTGTGTGTGTGTGTGTGTGTTTTAACAGGAAACATGCAAAGCAAATGATCTAGTGTGTGTGTAAGGCAAGAGGTCTACCATGGGCGGGGGATAGGGGTGTCAGTGAGGAAGGAGGGATACCTAACATATACAAGGCAGATGCTTTACCATTGAGTTATACTCCTGGTCCAGAAAATTTACACTTAGGATGCCTAATCAGAAATAGAGGATACAGTTCAGCAGCAGAATGCGACCCTCACCGCTATGAACACCTGGCTTCAATCCCCAGCACTGCAATAACAACAACAACAACAGAAGTCTATTTACACTTCAGCGGCTTCTTTTCTTGGGTGCAGGTGCCACACCCAGCAGCGCTCCGGGGTTACTGCCAATTAGGTGCTTAGGGGCTGCTCCTGCCAGTGTCCCAGAGATCACGCGGGTCAGGGATGAATCCAGGCCTCCAGCACGCAAAGCCTGTGGACCAGTCATATGAGAACCTCTCCCCCTTTTCGCTCGGCTTTAGTAGGACCACATCCAAGAAGGCTGCCAGGGCTGAACCTGGAGTCACTACCCAAAGAAGTGCTGGCCTCAAGCTGGGTTCAGGGACCACCAGGCCAAGCCTAGAAGTGCTGGAGGAGGTGGCAGGTGGTCTTATACATGCTATCCACGAACAGGCTCTCCCACTTCAAGTGTTTTGGAGGAAACTTTCCAAGTGTATTCTGGTCATACATAGTCTAACGAAGTAATGATGATATTTAAAAATTTCCTTGAGTGTGTTGTAAACTCACATTCTTTTTATTTTACAAATATCAAATCAAGATGGTATTTCCAAAATGAGTTTCATATGAGAACACATGATACCACTCATCACAGACCTATGACTAAAATTCTGAATTAACTCTTTCTTGGTGAAACGTTGAGATCCAACGTTTCATACAACCCCAGCCAGTATATTAAAGGTAAAGGTAAAGTCCCTCCCGTTGATCGTCGATTTGCTCGAGCGGGCCCAGTAACGTCTCCATTGGAGACTTTGTTGTTACTGTGTCTGGCATATCGAATACTCTCGGTAGCTTGCTGGGCTCTCCGAGAGGGACGGAGGAATCGAACTCGGGTCAGCCATGTTGGCTTAAGTGAAGGAAATAAAAGGTTAACTTTTTGCACTTTTATTATGCCACTTATTCCTAATAAAAGCTTTAAAAGGCAGTCCACGGTTGATGAGAACAGGTTAGACTGTGAAAATTCCATAGACAAGATTCCCTAACTAGCGGCAAATGAAGAGTAAAAAATGTTGAAGACGCAGAATGAGTTATGAGAGTGGACCAGAGAGATGGTACAGAGGACAAGATGCTTGCTTTGCATGCAACCAACCTGGGTTCAATCAATCCCCAGCGTCCCTTTCATGACCCCTCCAGCACCGCCAGGAATAATTCCTGAGTGCAGTGCCAGGAGTAACCCCTGAGCATTGCCGGGTGTGGCATAAAAACAAACAAAAAGAATGGGTTATGAGGGGACAGAGAAAAAATTGCTAGGAGACAAGAAAGAAATCCCATACGGGGACTGGCAACGCCCAGGAAGGCAGGCAATTCCAGATACTACTATGGAAACAGGGATGCATAAGGACTTCCTATGTCCAAAGTCAATCTGAAAAACTAAAACAAAACAAAAAGACGACCAATACACTCTTCATTTTGCACAAACTTCAGGTGAAAAAGAGGGTCTTCCGGACTTAAATCCCAAAACACAAATCCTAGGTCCAAGCTGCTACTTCTGCAGGCGGACAGGAAAGTATGGAGCATGTTATACAAAGCCAACTCATGCTTTGTCAATCAAATATCTCAATGTAATGAATGCCATTTCACAAATGGACTTCAGACATAAAATTTCTTTATTTAAACTGTGATCAGTCAAAATAGGTTCATTACAAAGAACCTCAGGTAAATCTACTTGGCTGCTATTCTGCGTCAATCCCTCTTGGGACTTGAGACTTTTCATTCTGGAGCTGGGATCTGGCCTGGCTGAGGTATACTGAAATCTATCTGCTATAACTGGATGACGATTTGAACCAAACTGTGAACTCAAAACAATACTTGCCCTCCCTGACCTGCCTTCTCTGCTGACAGAGTTCATATTTCACACTCTACACCTGTGCTACCCTCTAACTATGGAATTTCCTCTGTGCTACTATTAAGTCACTTGGCTTCACTCTCACAGTAGCCCTGGGAAGCGCACAGGATAAGAACATCACTGCCACTTTACAGGAAAGAAGACGGGGACGAAGGTGAACAGCGCTGCTCCTACCATGCCCTGCCCTGCTCCCCTGACGTCCTGCGAGGAAAAGGATAGAGTGGCATGACGGACTGACTGCCAAGACCACCAGACTCCCTGGAGACGTCCCCTAACACAGGGGCACAAAGCTGAGTCAGTCCCTCTGGCCCTCACCCAACAAAGACCAGCAGAGAAAACAAGACCCCTGGGGTTTCTCGTGGCCACCCAGGAGTGACAAGCTCCCCGAGGAGTCCATCTCTCGCTGATACCTGCCATTCGTAACGAGCAGCGGGAACGGCTCCTGGTACCACTGGAAACAACATCCAGACCTGAGTCATGGAGCTCCTGGAGCCCGTCAACAAGTTCAGCCACGCTGAGCAAACTTTCTAACTGCTCCAGAGATCAGCCTGAGCCTCGGATGACACAGCACCCAGCTCACGGGCCCTGAAGGATCCAACCATATCTGACACCTCCAACGCTTGCGTTCTTCTTCCTCTTTGTCCACACCACCATCCCCCCCTTCCCCCACCCCAGCCTTGCTAGCCCCAGACCCCCACCCTGGCAGGCTTGACAGAGGGTCCACTTCTCACAGAAAAGGATCAGGATTCAAACGTTTCTTCAGCTAACAGTCAGAGGACCACCTTAATGAAAGAACTGTTTTCTTGCCAGCCTTTGCAATTTTCACTACTCCAGGGTTATGGGGGCTGAATTAAGTTTAAGATAGGATAGGGAATGGAAAATAAACACAAAGAAAATAGAACAGACTGCTAATCTGCTCCTACATAGCCAAAATAAAATCCAACCCAAGCATATGGCAACACCCTTTGGCCTCACCTTCACAAATCATTGGCTCAATTGTAAATACGTGGCCCGCCTTCATCACTCCAACCGCTTTATTTTCTGAAATTAAAGGAAAAATATCTTAAAACAGAAAAAAAAAAAAAAGAAAAAATGTATATACAAACAAATTCATCCCCACCAATGACTCTGTATTACTTTGTCCTCCAAATCCCCTTCCTTAAAACACATCATTCAACAAACAGGTATTTACTGATCTCAGCGACCTACGTGGAGCAGATATTGACATAGGCCAATCGCAGAGACTCCATATACTGGGTTCCAGACAGGATTAGGTCACTCCTATCCAGATTACTTCCATAAAAGAAAAACATGCCTGAGCCCAGCTCAGCAGTTGAGGACCTGCCATGCAAAAGTAAGGCCAGTGAAGTCAACAGTTCGATCCTGGACAGCAGCCCGCATGCACAGTCTCTGCAGCACTGCCCTTTGGGTTCCAAGTGATCTCAACCAACTGTGCACGAGCCTGCAGCAACAACCATGCCCTCACCATGCCCCAATGAGCTGCCGGTTTCTGTAGGAACGGTTAGCACAGCCATCACCAGGTAAGCCAGGTTCTATCACTCACCAGGTATGAGAGTTTAGAGGACCGTACAGCATTCGCATGTACCACACATCCCTGGGAGTGGGTGTGTGGTGCTAGGCACAAGCGCACAGGGCAGATTCTCATCAAGCTTATTAACTCGTCTTCATCTATGTCCACTGGGACACAGCGTCTGCACTCTAGCTTTCAATGCTGATGAGAGGGTTCCTTTCCAGCAGAATCACAGTTCCCAGCGGCCTGGAGACACCTCAGTGGCAGAGTTCCTTCCTGGCAGGCCTGAGGTGGTCTGTCCATCCCAACCCCTGCAGCTCCCATGCTGAGTGCGATCCTGAAGCACCGCCACAAAGTGCTCATCTCCTGTACTCAACAGCCCATGTGCAGCCTCTAGCCACCACAACCAAGTGCCCATGGCACACAGCCACTGGGAGGAACACAGGCAAGAGAGGGAGAAAAGAAACTAATTCCAGGAGACAGGGAACCCATTCAGGGGTTAGAATCCTTGAGCACTGCTTGGGAAGCTAACAAATTCAAATTTAAATAAAATTTAAGAAAAAAACAAAAAAGCCCCCACAAATTCCACTTTTCTCTCTAAATACTTCTTATCCAAGTTCACTAATACCAGAGTACTTTTATGAGTACACTATGAGAATTTAATATATATATATATACTTTTTTCCCACAAAGAAGTGGGGACTTGCTACCATCACTGTGTGGATCTTCTTTGTGTATGCTGTACAGTTAAAAATGGGATGCAATGACTGTTCAGTGGAGTGTGGTACTGCCATGAATTCAAGTGTCCAAGCCCACCATTACCCTAGAAATGGTCTAAAATTGAAAACAGGGATAGGCCTCAATTTTTAGAGCATCCTATACAAACTGGAAAAGTGGTTTTAAATTGGATAGGATCAGAGACAGTACAGAGGTTAATGCACTTGCCATGCCTTTCCAGTACCCCAGTTCAGTCCCCAGCAACACCTCTGGTCCCATGAGCATCACCAGTGGTCACAGGGCCAGGAGTGGCCCCTACATACACCAGGTAGACCCCAAACCTCCTCCCCACCAAAAAAATCTTGAACTAGAAAGAGATGCAGGAGCAAAGGAGCAGGGGACTGGCTGTCAGGGCGCCATGAGCGGGGGCCTCCCGGCATGGCTACGCCCTTGAACAGCTGTCAAACTGCTGCTCTATCCCAGGCCCTGCCAGCTGCCAGAGATGGCGGAGTCCAGACCTGGAGTTTCTTAAGTGCTCCAGAAAAGGAGATGCAAAGATCACTTATATTTCTGATTTCATAAACTTCCGCTCCAAAAGACATACAATGTACTCCATGTGTCAAACTGGTCATACGTGTGCCCCTGGCGAAACCCACACAAACCAGGTCGGTATCAAGATGTCCCAGAAAGAAAAGGCCAGAGAGGCCAGAGCCAGCATCCAGCCAGCAGGCTTCAGGCCCAGCTGGGCCAGAGCCGGGACCAAAGGGCACGAGAAAGGCTCGTGGAGCTAAGACAGGTGCTTCAGGCCACAGAGTCCATCGTTTTTACTTTGTTTAAATATTAAAATGATAATATTCTGAGTGTAATTAGTAGTTTAAGTTAAATCTACCATTAAAATGAACTCTGTTACTTTTGTTTCTTGTTACTTTCTGGATATGAGCATTTAAGTATGATGCCGAAATCCTCTCTGTGCCTCCTGTTTCTGCAGGATAGTGAGAGAGTAGAGCAACTACTTCTGTTTCTTTGACCCATTATCCTGCATCTCCTTCCCACTCCCTTCCAACTGCCTCAGAGAATCCATCATGAAACCCTAAGTGCCAGTTCTCATCATCATCACCTTCCAACAGCAAGACCGACAGAAGCAGCCTATTACCTCTCCTGTTAAAGGCTCCTTCCACAGTGGCCAGGTCTTACCCAAGGAGGTGCACGCATATTTTAAAGAGCCTCCTGGCAGTTTCAGCATTTGCATAAATTAATGACAGCAGATTCTAATTTATAAAGACAAAATATGCAGATGCTTAGCCAAATGTGTGGAGGAAGTATACCTGGCCCTTGCTTCCTTTTTTCAGAACTCTTGTTTTGTTCTGGGGCCACACCCAGCTGTGCTAAGGGCTTACTCTTGGCTCTGCACATGGAGTTCCAGGACCCAGATGGGTTTCTGGGGATCAAATCCAAGTCAGCTGCATGCAAGGCAGGTGCCCTACCCACTGCACCATCACTCCAGCCTTGGATCACTTTTTTATCACGAATTAAATGGTTCTAAATGACATCAAGTGGCATCTCTTGTCCATGGCACCGTATTTTATGGGGGGTTGGCAGTTTTTCTGCTTTTTGGGTCACACCCAGCAGTGCTCATGGGTTACTGCTGGCTCTGCACTCAGCAATTACTGCTGGCAATGCTCAGGGACCCTACGGGATGCAGGTCAGCGGTGTGCAAGGCTAAGGCCTTCTGCTGTCCCTGTCACTCTCGCCCCATAACACTGTATTTTAATGAGCACAGTGTCACCAGAGAATACAGGTCCATGTCTTTAACATTTTCAAACATTCTGTGTACATATGTTGATGTATAATCCTGAACTTGCACACTCTACACTCACACACTCTGTACACACTTCCCTTCTCTGCACACATCCAGCACAGGCTGGGAGTTGTCTCACTGAGCCAGCACCAGCTTTAAGATGGGTTTCCTCCTGCCTTGTATGGAAGCGAAAATAACTTGTCCAAGAAAACGTTTTAACAAGTGTCTGCACAGCACCCATCCAGACACCAAAGCCCAGCTTCTATTTCAGACTAACTCACTAGTGTATGTGTGTCTCCTCTCTGCAGTAACAAGATCTCATCCTACACACTTCCTGTTACTGTTAGACAACACCTTACTGGACTCAAGGTGTTGCTGATTTCTCTCCAGTCCCACCAACGAGCTATATAAGTACCCAACATGCACCAAGAACTCAAATCAAACCACTGAACCACCCACACCCACAAAACCAGTCTTTATGGTTACCCATTCGTGGTAGAAACTGTCCTGTCCACCAAATCAATTTACATTTATGGCAAAGCACTTTGCTAGGCTTCCCCACCTCCCTGACCTTGTAATTGAAAATTGAATCTGGGGGAAAGCCGTGGGAAGTGGTGGAAATGGCATCCGGGCTGTGCTCTGGAGGTCTGAGGGCCTCGCCATCAAGTCTCAGTCAACCATTTATGGCTCAGAGTCTATACTGCAGTGCCAGGTATACTCAGGCCACCTGAGAGATGCTGGCAGCCTCCAGGGCCACAGACAGCAGTGCGCCAGGTACCATGTGATGCCAGGATCAAACCAGATGCTGTGCTGCTCTACATGTTATACTGTCACCCAGCCCCTGTGACTCTGTTCTTGCCAACAAAGGTGAAGGGCTAAGGCTGGCTCATTAAAACTGCACCATCCTCTCCTGAGGCCAAACACACGCCAGGGATGGTAACAGTGTTACCCTGATATAAAGGCCTAGGTGCTGCTAAGTGAATTTGCTGAATAAATGGTTAGCAAATCCAAATTTTAGCTAGTACTTACTGGCATAGTGTGGTACATTGGGAGCTGTATGGAAAAGCTTGTGGATTCCATGCCCGCAGTAGCTTCGTACGACTGAAAACCCATTTGCTTGGGCATGCTTCTGAATGATGTTCCCCAGCTCTCTGTATCGAACACCAGGCTTCACTGAAAGACAAGGAAAACTCATGACAAAGAGAAATGAAACCAACATTCACTGGACAATTATCGCAACCAGCAGCAACCTTCCCAACCACTTTCTGTGCCCTCAGGCCTAAACCAAGAGACAAGAAGGAACCAGGCAGAGGAGCAAGGTTGTGCAAGAGCAGCAGGCTGAGCCTTGAACCAGGCACCCCTTCACTTCCTCCAAGATATAAGCAGGAGCATGGTGACTCTTCTCATCCCTCGCCTCGGTCCAGTGCACGCTTCGACTATGGGGAGTAGCAGAGATGAGAGGAAAGAGCAACATCCAATGAAATGAACATCCTGGGCCACAGCAATAGTAAAATGGGTAAGGCAGTTGTCTTGCATGTGGCTAACCCGGGGTCAATCCCTTGCATCCCGTATGGTCTCCTTAGTACCACGAGGAGTAATTCGTAAGTGCAGAAATAGGAGTAACCCTAAACACAGTTGGGTTTGACAAAAAAAAAAAAAAAAAAACACCTCTAGACATTCTTGGCCAGCAAGAAAGTACAGCAGTAAGTTACTATCCCTGCACAAAGCCAACTAAGGTTCAATCCCCGGCACCCCACATGGTACCCCATGCTCTGCCTGGAACCCCATGCTCTGCCTGGAATGGTCCCTGAGCAAAGAGCCAGGAGCAAGCCCTGAGCACAACTGGGTGTGGCCCCAAAACCAAAATAAACCAAAAAATGACATTCCTGAGCTCTAATGTGGTCATCTAAAAAAATCGCTTTCCCTGGGCATCTCAAACCATCTGCCATTGCCTCCACAGAAGCTCTGGGTGTCTGCACAAGTGGCCCCTGCCACAGTAAATGTGTGATTCTGCCACTGTATTATTAGAACCAGGACGAAAAAGGGCTTCTCATGCCACCGTGGCTCTCCTTACACCAGGGCCCCTGAGTAGAAGCTGTCATACTCCTGGGGAATCGAGCCGTGCTTCCAAGGGTTCTTATGGTCTCCTACTCTGTCATCCTACTTCCAAGCTGATATTCACATACAACACTCCAATCCAACCTCTGGGCAATGAGCTCAGGGATTCAATTTAACTAATATTTTCACAATTGCAACCATATGTTCCAGCTTGACTTTTTGGGAAGTGGGGGCTTATGACTTTGAAGAATCATGATGAATTTCATGATGGTTTTCTTTGGTTTCTAACTGGGTTTTCCTATCAGCCTGTTAGTAAGGAGGAAAGCATCATTTTTCACCCCGGCTACACAATTTACAATAAAGTAAATCCCTAAAAAGGTATACAGTTAAAGGATTTTAAAAGTAGGGGGGAAAGGGAGGGCCAGAGATACAGGACAACAAGTAGGGTAACTGCCTTGCACACAACAGCTCTGGGTTCAAACCCAAGCCCTACCAGGAGTTATCTTCTGAGCACAGAGCTAGAAATAAGTTCCGAGTACTTCCAGGTGTGTCCCTCCACAAAAAAAAAAAAAAAAAAAAAGAGAGAGAAAAAAAAAAACACCCAAAAACCACCACTCACTGAGCCAGCGAGATAGCTCAGTGTACTGAGCACAAGCCTTGCATGTGGGTGGCCTGGGTTCAATCTCTGGCACCGTTATGATTCCCTGAGCATCACCAGGATTAACACCCAGGAACACCAAGAACGGACTCTAAGCACTACTAGGTGGAGCCCAAAAGACATTCAAAATGAAGAACTAGTCCCACACTCCTTACTTGTCAGCAAGAAAGAAGAGAAATCCCAGAAGAGACAAAGGAGGATGAGCAAGCATCCAATCCATCCTCATCAAGGGACCCACTAACCCCCATCACAGCCCACCCTCCCCGCTGACTCTGGGGCAGGGGGCAGAGGCAGGCAAGGGAAAATGCGGCACAGTACCTGCATCAATGGCCTGCATCAGGCACTCGTAGGTGGTCTGCACCAGTCTCCGTGCGCCCTCATCCACATCGCCAACAAAAAACGTCTCATTCAAGTCCCCATGATAACCATTGCGGTACAAAGTGATGTCCACTGCAAAAAAAAAAAAAAAAAAAAAAAAAAAGAATGTCAAATGAAGAACACATTCACTTTTAGTCCAAAGATAAATACCAGTTTAGTCAGTGGCAGCAAGCAGCCTGCTGAAAGATGACTTCTCTATCCTCCAACTAGATACTACTAAACAGAGTTAGGGGGCAACAAACACTGCTTGCCTGCAAAGCCACTCCTGAGAAGGACAGGCCCCCGCACTTTGCAGCAACCAGTTCATCTACAGAAAACAGTACCCAGGACACACACAGGAAAGATCCATACCCAGAGTCAGGCGTTAAATAGAAAACATGGCTCTCACTTGGAATCTTAATGAGTCTCTTCTTCTCTGAGCAAAGTAGTAAATACTTTGTTCTGAACTTCATTTCCGCTCTCTGAGACTCTTAAGAATACAGAATTCCGGCTGGAGAGGCAGCTCAGGGGACGAGCACGTGCTCTGTGCTGGGCGAGGCCCTGCAAGTCCCCTGCACAGTGCTGCTGTCCTCCCTTCGAGCAGCAGAGAGGAAACCGCTGAGCACAGCCTCAGGAGCAGTCTCCCCACCCCACCCCGAGCCAACACAGGGTGTGGCAAAAAGATAAAACCAGTCTATTGCTGTACCAGCACCGCAGTGACAGACCCAAATGCAAGCACGGTGCCATCAGTCCCAGGCAGCCCTTCTCCACCACTTGACACCTGCGTCACAGTCCCGTTCAAGTTCACCCCATGAAAAGTACTCCAGGGTGCCTCTTCCTCACTTGTTTCCTCAGCCACAGGGGTAAACGTGTGAGCAAGCAGCTTCCACAACACTCAGCTGAAAGGTCCCTGAAGCACCCCGAAGGCTCTGGAGAATTGCTAAGACTTTCCCTTTCCCATCATTCTCACAAGGGCCGCCCGGTGCTACTGAACCCAGCAGTGTAGGTCTAACAGACTGGGGCTGCTGGGAGGAAACAGGGAGACACCCGGTGGGGCTCAAGGGAGAGGCAGTTCCAGGGTTGGGGGGGAAGGACAGCCAGTGGTGCTGAGGGACTCCAGCCTGTGTGCTGGGGCCACCCTGGGGGACTACCTCTCCAGCATCCCCCAGCCTTTTTCTGTCTGTAAGGAAGATTGCCCTGATCTCCACAGAACCATTAAGGATCTAAGAGAGAAAAAAAAATCTCATTTGAATCAACTCACACATCTCACATATTTACCAACTACGAATCACCATCCACGTGCAAGAAATACTCCAACATACCATACTACAGGGAGCTCAAAGGAATATTTTAAATAATTAAATGGATTTCAATAAATCTAGGCTGATTTTAAATTATAAAAAAAAGGATCATTTAAGGACAGGAACGTGGAAAGCGAAGAGGGCCTAAGTCCCAATGCAGCCCGTAAAGAGAGCCACATGCCTTACCATTCACAATGTCACCTTCTTGCAAGGGCCGTCTGTCTGGGATTCCGTGGCAGATCACTTCATTCACTGAAGTGCAACAAGACTTTGGGAAATTATAATAATTCAGGGGAGAAGGATAGCAGTTTCGTGCAATGCATGCCTGAAAGAAATTAAAATATATATATAAAAAAATAGTTGAAATGTGAAGAGAACTGAAGCAATAGTAGAGTAGGTGGGGTGTTTACTTGGCATACGACTGACCCGGGTTCAATCCCTAAGCATCCCATACAGTCCCCCAAACACCACCACCAGAAGTAATTCCTGAGCGCAGAGCCAGGAGTAACTCCTGGGTACCGCTGGATGTGACCCAAAAGGGCAAAAATAATAAATAAACTAGAAATGTTAGGGGTGAGAGCAATAGTAGAGATAGGGCATCTGGCTTGCGCACAGCTAGCCCAGGTTCAATCACCAGTATCCCATATGGTCCCCAAGTCTGCCAGGATCCCTAACCTCAATGCCAGGAGTAACCTCTGAGCAGCGCCAGGTGTGGCTCCAAAACAAACAAATGTGAAAAGAAAAATAAACCTGTATAATTAACTAGACTGAACAAATTCTTTTATCAATGAGTGTATGAGGAATATATCAAATGTGTTTTTGGGGGGCTGTGGGGGTAGGGTAGGGGACAAAACCCAGAGCTTTACATGTGCAATGCAAATATTACTATGCCTGCGCTACCTCCCTGGGTTAACATGTTATTTTAGAGGCCAGAGTGACAGCACAGTGAATTGGGCACTTGCCTTGCATGTGACTAAGCAAGGTTCAATCTGTGGCACTCCATAGGCCTTCCTGAGCCTGCCAGGAATGATCCCTGAGCACAAAGCCAGGAGTAAGCCCTGAGCACCACTGAGTATGACCACCCCCAAAAAGAGATAAAAACAAACCAACCCACAAAATACATGTACTTTTAGAAATACTCACATCCATTCTCTTAAACACAATAGGCCTAGGCCACTAGACAGGTTCTAGGGGCTGGGGAAATGCTCCAAGGGCAGGTATACAGTTTCTGTATGCAGGAGCCCCAGGCCCAATTCCAAGCACTACCTGGTTCCCAAGCATAACCAGAGTTTACACACACACACACACACACACACACACACACACACACACACACAAGCAAATAAGAATTTGCTTTTCCCTTACTGATTTTGTTTTGTTTTGGTTTTCTGGACCAGACCCAGCAGTGCTCAGGGTTTACTCCTGGTTCTGTGCTTATAGACCACTCCTGGCAGGGTTTGTGGTACAATATGGGGTGTCCAGGATCAAACCTGGGTCTACTGTGTCGGGGTCAACCATTCCATCCCCTGCACTACCACTTCAGCCCTAAACTATGAATATTTTTTATAAAGAAAGCAAGTACTCCCACCAACATTTCAACCTGAAAATCTCCGCATTCATTTGAAACCAAAAAATCTTTAGAGAAAAATTATCTGGTTCTCTATAACAAGAATTACTTTACATTGATGCTTTTATGATGTAAAACTATTTCCATGGAGGCTGGAGAGATAGCACAGCGGGTAGGGCATTTGCCTTGCACACGGCCGACCCAGGTTCGATTCCCAGCATCCCATATGGTCCCCTGAGCACCGCCAGGGGTAATTCCTGAGTGCAGAGCCAGGAGTAACCTCTGTGCATCGCCAGGTGTGACCCAAAAAGAAAAAAAAAAAACTATTTCCACATAATTTCTCTTTTCTAATTGCCACTCTCTTTGGACTAAGAGCTTTTCTTTTTTTTAATGAGAGATGCATTCAGCTGTGCTCTGGGGCCATTAATGCTCAGGGATCATGGGGATATGGTGCCGCCAGCAGGTCAATCTGTACCTGTGAGGCGAGTAAATCAGCAGCCTGATGGCACCTTCGGACTTCCAGATACCCCAAAATTGTTGCTGTGCCTTTGGTCAGACCCCAAAATCTTGGGGCAAACTTTACCAAGAAAGCAAACAGCCAAAAGTTAGGTATGTGGGAGACACTCCCAATAACCACCTCCATGTCAGCTATGTAATTGGAGGCATGGCCTCACTGGTTCCTGATCAAGCTGCTTAACAGCCATGATCCCTGAGTCTCAGAAACAAATCTAGAAACCCAGTGGCTTTTGGCAGAAATGCGTCCAGACCCCGCAGTAAGTTACTGTCCCTCCACCTGTTTCCCCTTGGCAGCTTGGTGGCAGCCATCCTCCAGAGGCCATTGGAGAGTCAGGTTTGGGCCCGCAGTGATGAGACACGTGGGGCCTCACGGGATGGGGGTAGAGCTAGCCCTCTCCTCCCCATTTCAACGAGACCCCAAGTCGCTGCCCACTAACAGCCTCTCTGGCTCCTGATCAAGCTGCTAAACAGCCAAGATCCCAGAGACTCAGGAACAAATCTCGGAACCCAGCAGGTTTTGGCAGAAATCTCTCCAGATTTAAGTGTTAAAATTTCGGAATTTCAAAATCGCACAGCTACTACTGCAGCTGCGTGACATCATATGTTATTCATAACCAGCAACAGAAAACATTGTCTACTGTTGCCTTTTTGGCAGATCCGAGTGTTGGGGTAAAATCCCAAATAATAATGGGGAGTCAGGTGTCAAAATATTGAATGTAATCAAAGTAGAGAGAGAGTAATGTGGAAATCATCTGCCCCACAGGTAAGTGGAGGGTGTGGGATGAGTTACACTGGGGTTTTTGGTGGTGGAGAATGGGCACTGGTGAAGGGACAAGTGTTTCATTGTATGACCAAGACTTAAACCCGAAAGCTTTGTAACCGCTCTCACAGTGATTCAATAAATAAAATTATAAAATATGAAAAAAAAAAAGTAAGGTGGAGTTCATATCCAATTCAATCAGCCGAATCAGTGGCTGAATAAATAGTAGTACTCCTGTATTTAAAAAAAAAAAAAGGCTCAGGGATCAAACTCAAGGCTTCACACATGCTTAATAAGTATGTGCTCTATACTTGAACCAGATTCCTGACCTGAATGTTAACGTCTTTATTCCGTCTTTTTTGGTCACACAGCAGTACTCAGGGGGTTACTCCGACTGGATTCCTAGGGCTCCCACATGCAAAGATGCACTTTAATCCAATGAGCCATCTCTCCAGCCCCAAGACAGGACTTTCAAATACATACATGAAATATAATTGTGAAATATGCCATAACTTTTGGGCATTCCATTACTATTGGAAATTTAAATTGTTTCTTCAACTATAAAAATATTACAACTGGACCCAGAGCAATAGTAAAGCGAGCAGGGCATTTGTCTTGCAAGCAACTGACCCAGGTTCTATTCGATCCCCAGAGCCCTGCCAGCAGTGATCCCTCAGCACAAAGCCAGGAGTGAACCCTGAGATCATCCAGGTGTGGTCCAAAGACAAACACAAAAACTTACAATTTAAAACTAAATATCCCTCACACTTCCTTCACATAACAATATCATTCTATGAATCTCATAGTAAATAAGTAGTAATGAAGAATACCAGAAACAGTACAGCGGGTAAGACGTCTGCCTTGCACAGAGCTGATGCTGATTCAGGTGCAGGTTCCATCCCTGGCACCCTACATGGTCCCCCATGCACTGCCAAGAGTAATTCCTCACTGCAGAGCCAGGAGTAAGCCCTGAGCATCCCCAGTGTGGCCCTTTCAAAAAACAAAAAAGAAAAAAGAATGCCAGAAGCAACTGTCGGGACTGAAAATGCAACGCCATTGTTTTCACAACTTAACTGACTTTCTTGCTTCAGTTTCTCTAAAATGAAGAGATCTACCTCTTGGAATTACTGGGGAGAGTGAGTCAGTAAAAGCATATCAAAGAGCACCTAGCCCACAGGAAGCTGTCAAAATGTTATTAGTGGGGCTGAAGTGATAGTACAGTGAGGAAGGTGTTTGCCTTGCAAACGGCCGACCCGGGTTCGATTCCCAGCATCCCATATGATTCCCTGAGCACCGCCAGGAGTAATTCCTGAGTGCATCACCAGGTGTGACCCAAAAAACAAAACAAAACAACAACAAAAAAGTTATTACTGTGCACTATTTTTATAACACATGAAACAACATCCAAAATATATTTTTTTGAAGTTTATAAATGTTTAAATACAATGTCAAATTTTCTTTCAAAAGGAAGTTATTGCGCTAGGGCTGGATAGTACAGCAAGTAAAACTTACGCCTTGCATGCAGCTGATCTGGATTTGAACCCTAGCACCCCATATGGTCATCTGAGCCCTGTCAGGAGCCCTAAGTTCAGCCATGTGTGTGGCCCAAAAACAAACCCCCGCCAAAAGAGCTCTTAAAAATGTTGTCCTAGGCGAGGGAGGTGGCTCAGTTGTAGAGGGTATTAAACCCTTGAACTCCTGTGCCACTCATGTAGGACAAGGGTTCGATCCAGGAACCAAAAAAGAATAGGACCAGAGCAATATACAATAGGTAGAGCGTTTGCTCTGCATGAGGTTGACCCGGGTTTGATCCCCAGCATTGCATATGGTTCCCCAAGCACGGCCAGAGTGCAGAACCAGGCATAACCCCTGAGCATCACCGGGTGTGACCCAAAAAGCAGGAAAAAAAAAGGGGGGGGGGAGAAAAAAAAAACAATGGATTACTCCAATTTACAATATCAACTCAGACCATAACAGCAACTGGTATAAAATATTCAAAACACTGATTTACAGATCTCAGTTTAGTTTTCTGTATGATTTAAACTATTAGTCATTGCCCTTCTTTGCAAATATCTATTCATATAGTCAGTGCATTCATCTACTGCAGGATTTTATGATGTCCATTTCATGGATAGGCCACAAGCAAGGAATGTACCTTACTCCCTGTACTTGCCCCAAATAATTTTGTTTGTGTGCAACCTCTGCATGATTAAAATTAATGACTTTATCAAAGTTAAGCTAAACTGTTATGAAATGTGAAGTTTCAGAAACAAGACGTTTCAACTGCACTCAGACCTCAGTACCACAGGTATTTAGAACTAATAATAAATGCTTATATTTCAAAGTAAAAATGTTTGCTTTCAAATTAACTTTGCCAATTTACTTTAGGCATTTAGAGCTTAAGTTTACTTAATTTTCAGAAATCTAAATCACTATTTCTCATCTTTCTCTGACCATGACTCCTCCCTACCCAATTTTCTTTCTGTGGCCTCAGGGTCCTACCCATTGGTCCCTAAACTAATGCTGTTGCCCCCAATTAAGTGATTTTTCCTGTGACCCCCACCCCCACTGGAATATTCTAGGATTCCCAACTAAGAAATGCTGGTCTAAATATCTAATAATATGGACAACTTTTCCAAAACATAAAGGTAAAGGTCTTACTAAGTGCACAGCATGATCTATTTCTTCAGTAGTGACACCAGGTTTAATCATCCCAGCAGCAATGTCCAGGACTTCTCTAGCAAGCTGCAGCAAAGAAACATGTAGAAAACTTCAGAAAAGAAGAGAGAAACAAAATCCTGTACTGTCTCAGATTTTCTGGGAGGTTTGTAAAATTTGAAAATTTATACTATTCAACCTTGAATACTAGAGTTCTGCGGAGTTCATGCCCAATTCAATCAGCTTAATCAATGGCTGAATAAAGCAGTACTCCTACATTTTAAAAAAAAGTTAACTGTATTTGCATTTTCAAACAATTTTTGTTCCTAACACCCACCAATAAATTTGTGTAAACATAAAGATAAAATCAGGCCAGCATATCTGAGAATGAGCTTCACAATATATAAGCACACACATCTTTCTGACATAAACAAAGTAACAGAGGCCAAGTCTTTGCCAATTCTTATCATAGGGCAGGGAAAAAGAGAAATGAAGATGAGAATTTTTCCTCAAAGAATCGTAGCAAATAGGTGACCAAAATGCAAATTTCCCAAATTACCCAAGAAACTTGGCATTAAATCACTTTTAAAACTAAAGGTGTCATTTCCCATAATAGGGCAGAACACTTCAGAGCAGGACCAGAGGTTTGTGCTAACTGTACACAAACCTTCTACTCTGCCCAATCTCATGACCAGAAAACAAAATGTGAAGATACCATAACCACCTGGTTGCTTAAAATGAAAACATGAGGTAAGAGAAATAGACTACAGACTAAATATACATCACCGCCATAATAGTTTTCAAATGATTATCTAAATAGAAACTATCTTGTATAAAGTTACATATTAACAATAGCTGAATGAAAAGTCAATCTAGTATAATGTAACACTTATTAATTGCCTAGTACGATGTAACACTTAAAAACCAGTCAGTCCTATCCCAAGGAAAAAAAGAACTCACCCTACATACAAGTCTCATCCCTTCTATATCTTCGGAGGAGAGTAATTTAATCTGAGAAGTACCTTTAAGAGCCTGTTCAGATTCAGACATTCCTAAAAAGGAGAATCAGTCAGTACAATCAAAATGAGTGAAAAGATGTCATATTAGTAAGCAGAATTATCTTCCTGGTTATTTAATAGTCAAGACTGAATGTTTTTTTTTTTCAATTTTTATTTTTATTTTATTTTATTTTTGCTTTTTGGGTCACACCTGGCAATGCACAGGGGTTACTCCTGGCTCTACACTCAGGAGTTACTCCTGGCAGTGCTCAGGGGACCATATGGGATGCTGGGAATCGAACCCGGGTCGGCCGTGTGCAAGGCAAACACCCTACCCGCTGTGCTATCTCTCCAGCCCCGACTCAATGGTTTTTCATAGTTTAGAAGACTCCAAGTCAGATCCTAAAACATATTTTCAAAATGAACTGAAAATTTGTTACAACAAAATGAAACTTTTCAACTGAAAGGGATTTCCAGACTCGGGCTGGGTAGTACCTCATGGGCTGACCACTGGCTTTCAGGAGGCCTGGGTCCATCCCCAGCTTCGAGCGGCCTTCAGATCACAGGAACCCTCGCACCCACAACCACTACACAGAGCCAGGAGTGGCACCTGAGCACTGCTGGGTGCAGCCCAATAACCAAAAGAAAGAAAAAGAAATAGTACAGGGGTTAAGGCAACTTTGTCTTGCACAAGACCAACCCAGGTTCAATCCATAACATCGCATATGATCACCTAAGCACCACATGGAGTGAGCCCTAAGCACTGCCAAATGTGCTCCTCCCTCCCCCCAGAACATATTTGGGTAAGCGTATTATTTCAAAACCTAGCAAAAAGAATTTAACATTATTAACAAATCATATTTATAAGTGCTAATATTAAAAACCCCAAACAAACTGAATCCAAAAACATAACACAACCGTTATATAAAGGAGAGTCACGGTGCAAAGTTTTAGCTAGTTCAATATTAACAGTAATTCGAGGGCCGAAGCAACAGCACAGTGAGTAAACTTGCCTCACACACGGCTCCTGAGCACCACCTGAGTAACTGCTGAGTGCAAAGCCAGGCATAACCCCTGAGCATTGGGCGTGGACCAAAACCAAAAATCAATCAACAAATCCAGCCCTGAGAACCTGCTACCAAACAGCATTCCTTTCTGAGGCAGAGGGGCAAGGGCCAGCACTGAGGGCTCACCTAGGGGGTGGTCCGCATAGTCCGGTCTTTGAATATAACTTGGCACTGGCCTGGTTGGCATCTAAAAGCAAACAATTAAAATGCAATCAAATATGAAAGTGACTTTATCAAAATACACTAAAGAAATCAAAGTGGGGGAAAAAAACTAAAGAAAAGTTTCATTTCAAAGTATTAAATGACAAAATTTTAAATGACATCTTAGGCAGCCTTGTTCATGAAGATTAAGCTTAATTTTATTATGCTAATGCCACCCCCATTTTGCAATATTTCAGAGAGTGAAGTAGCTGAGGCCATGAAGTATTTCAGATGCGTGCAGACAAGATGCCAATATGGTTCCAATCACTTGGCAAGTCTATAATAAAATAACGTACTCATTACATAAATAAAAGTACCACTATGTCCCCTGTCTTTATCTCTGAGAGGTTTGATTAAACACACTTCCTTACATTTCCTATTTCCCAAAGTTTAAAATGAAAACTATATTCCTTTTACACTAAGAACATCAGTAAAGGCTTGCTCTTTGGGCCCATGTTCTCCCTTGAACCCGTATCTCACTTGTTTGTCTCGATGTTTCTTTGCCTGCCTATTTCCACCCTAGAGAAGCCTGTGTGTTCTCTCTTTCCCTCCCTCCCTCCTTCCCTATCCCCACGCTCTCTCTGTCTCTCCCCTTTCCAGACAATAGATTCTAACAAAGGAAGGGTTAGGAGCAGCAGTAAGGTCCTACTAGGTTAAAGTGGAAGCAGAAAAGAAGGGCTAGTGATGAGACTCAGTGGTGGAACACATTGCCTCACAGGGATTAGGCCCTAGGTCCAATCTCATACACCAGAGGAAAAAGGTACAGAGGCGAAACCTGGGTTCTTCCACAGCACCACATAAAGTCCCAGAAGTGATCCCAGAGTGCAGAGCCAAGAGTAAGCCCTGAGCAGAACCGAGTACAAAAAAAAGAACAAAGAACACAAGCAAATAAAAACACTAAAAACCCAAATCACCAGGCCTTAGAACTGAATAAACGGGGCTGTACAGTCCTGCCAAGAGTCGATGGCAGTAACACCCAGACCAAGCACACCTGGAGAGGCCCTCCAGAAATAAAAAACTAAATGAACCTTTGTTCATGATTACTAATTATCACTACCAACTTCCCACCAATGCTAAAGAATATAAACTTGATTCTGATAAGTCATTACGGGAATACAAATTATAATTAGCATTTTTAGGAGACTCACTTAAAAGAATATTTGATCTTAATTACCTTACTTACTCACCAGTGGATAATGTGGTCTGAGTTTACCAGTATAGCGGTACCCAGCCCAAGGGTCCGTGTTAATATCACCTTCTACAGTCCAGGGAGATACTTCCCGCTTTGCCTTTTCATCTTCTGGGAGATGAGAGAAATGAGAAGAGAAAGTCACATTATGGTAGCACCAAAGACTGTCACTTGTTTGAAAACGCAACCAAAGTTGAAGCCGAAATCCAGTCAATCCAATTCTACCTGAATCTCCATCACCACATTTCCCTTGCTATATTTGTAACAGTGATTCATCTTCAAAGACTAAGTAGATTTGGAGGAAATATAAACTGTAGCTATATATAAGTTTTTACACAGTATCAAAAGGAACAGTGCATAAAACTCCTTTTTCAGTGTTTAATGTTATCCTCTCTACCAGGTCAATTTATAGAAAGCCATCTTGAAACATAAATATTTATTTATTTATTTATTTATTTTGGCCTTTTTGGATCACACCAATGATGCTCAGGGGTTACTTCTGGCTGTGCACTTAGGAGTTACTCCTGGTGGTGCTCAGGGGACCATATGGGATGCTGGGGATCAAACCCGGGGTTGGTCGCATGCAAGGCAAACGCCCTACCTGCTGTACTATCACTTCAGATACCCAAAATATAAATCTTTTTTTTTTTTGCTTTTTGGATCACACCTGGCGATGCACAGGGGTTACTCCTGGCTCTGCACTGAGGAATTACTCCTGGCGGTGCTCAGGGGACCATATGGGATGCTGGGAATTGAACCTGGGTCGGCCGCGTGCAAGGCAAACGCCCTACCCACTGTGCTATCACTCCAGCCCCCAAAATATAAAGCTTGAGCTCAGGCAAAACTATCCAACTGAGAGTACAATATTTCAAATGAATTCTGACCTCTTGTTAAAAGAATAAATTCTAAAGTACCGCAAAGCATATTTAATGGAAAAAAATTTTTCTTCCACTGAGTACAGGAGATAAGGTGTTGGCCTCACATGTAGCCATATCAAGTTCATTCCCTGAGCACCACCAGAAGTTATCCCTACTCACAGAGCCCTGAGCACAGCCAGGTATGGCCCAAGTCCTCCCCCACATCTCCCCCCACCCCATACACACAAAAGAAAATTCCCAATTAGTCCATCTGAAGGGCTTTCAAGTCATTATTCCAAACAGCTTCTGAAAATTTCATGAATATCATTACCCTTGCTTCAGGAGGGAGGTCATCAAAAGAGGTAGGAAAAAGGGAAGAAACAAACAACAGGTTACAGAAAACTCAGAAAAATTAGGAATCACACACACACACACACACACACACACTACCTCGTTAAGTTATTAAAACATAAAATATTTACTGAAATGAACGTAAGAACCCTTTTCTTTCTTTTTTTTTTTTTTTTTTTTTTTGCTCTTTGGGTCACACCTGGTGGTGCACATGGGTTACTCCTGGCTCTGCACTCAGGAGTTAGTCGTGGCTCTGCACTGAGAAGTTACTCCTGGCAGCGCTCAGGGGACCATATGGGATGCTGGGAATCGAACCCGGGTCAGCTGCGTACAAGGCAAACGCCCTACCCGCTGTGCTATCACTCCAGCCCCAAGAAATCTTTTCAAAAATACCTGCCATGGTGTGAGATGGCAGTACAACTCTCAACCTGAGATGCAAACTACTGCATTCCTGGAATAGAACCCAGGGCCATACACAGGAAGCCTGTGCTTTATCACTGAGCTCTGTACCTGGGCACTGTACCTAAGACTTCGAATAGCAGGGTTCAACTCCCTCTCAGGCCAGGTCTGGACCTATCACCCCCCCAAATCATACAGTTTCTCCACAATCATTGTCAAACTACCAGGGATTCTGAAAGTATTAACTGCAAAATTGTTTTGTTTTGTTTTTGTTTTGTTTTGTGAGCCATATTCAACAATACTCAGGAGTAATTTTTGGCTCTGCATTCAGGAATCACTCCTAGAAGTGCTCAAGGGACCCTAGGGGATGCCAGGGATCGAACCCAGGTCAGCCATTTGGAAGGCAAGCACCATACCCACTGTACTATCTCTCTGGTCCCGATTTCAAATAGTTTTAGAGGTGTATGAGAAAAATAAACTCCCCCTTTACGTAAGGTATTTCATATACAAAACAAAGAATAGGTGAAATCCTATCAAGTTAAGCTAGAGAACAATGGCTTTGTGATGGTAGGCAGAGGTATAAAACTGCAGCAATAACAGCTAAGTTCTGGGAATGCAATGTACACCAGACTGATTAAGATAACAATGACACAAAGAAAGTCAAATTTCCTTATTCTACAGAAGAGAAGCTGCAGGTGCTTTTGCCTGGAGTTGAAAGAATGCAGAAAGTGCAGTGTCACCATTCTTCTTCCTTAGGAAAATAACACTATTACAGTATTACATAGAAAGTTCAGAAACAGACAATAGCTCAGGAGAGGAAAAGGAAGGCTCCACTCTGCTCCTGGACCTAAAATACCTTTCTCCCTGTGAACTCAGGAAAGCAAGGGGCTGTCAGCACTGACGTCAATAGGAAAGCTGATTCACTCCACTCACTGTCAGGGGCCAATACTGTAGAAAGCAGTGTCTCTACAATGTCCAACTTTGAAACACGAGCGTTCTGATGCATGCTTCAGCTAGGTACTGCCCAACTGCTTTTACTCTGAAATAGGAATCTCAAGAGCAATTTTCACCTGGGTTGGAGTGGTAGTAAAGCAGGTAGGGCGTTTGCCTTGCAGGCAGCCAACCCAGGTTCGATTCCCAGCATCCGAAAGGGTCCCCCGAGCACCACCAGGAGAAATTCCTGAGAGCAGAGCCAGGAGTAACCCCTGAGCACTGCCAGATGTGACCCAAAAAGCAAAAAAGAAAATTTTTCACCCAAAACCAAAGACTGAACATCTATCAAGATGCAGTCACTTTAATATACTACTAGGGTTGAAGCAAAAAGGAGACATTACAATTTTCAGGAGGTGGAGATCACAGAGGTTAGGCACTTGCTTTGTGTGTGACCCACTCAGGTTCAATCCCCAGTACCGCATATGGTCCCTGGAGCCTTGCCAGGAGTGATCTCCAAGCACACCGCCAGAAGTACGGCTTGAGCACCACCAGGTGGCCCAAAAACTAAAACAAAAGAAAATTTCAGTTTCCTGCTGATGAGCATGATAAAACTTCTAGTTAATTAAGCTTTTAAGTTCTGAAATAACTTTCAAGTTACTTTCTAATACAGAGATGGAAGGGGTTGGTAACAAGACTGTAAAAGATGAGATAAGCAAAGATCATGAGAACAAAAACCTACAAACTGTCGGACGTCCCAGATCCAGAGAGACTATATAGAGCCCAGGCCCAGAGAATCATGCCCAGACTTGTTCTGAAAAGTTCTGAGAACTTGCCCTTTCTTCCCTTGCAAATAAGCACAAGTGCACAGTCCTAAGCCCTGCCTGGTAGGACCCTTCTGATTCTAGCTCCAACTCCTTCAGAGACGGTAGCTGAGTCTCTGCGGGACACCATGCACTGAAGAGACACGAAAGCACTTTCCATAAAACTCTGCTTAACCCCAAGCTTTCAGCATTTTCGAGGTGACACTCAGAGTAATTCAGACTTAAAAGCTTGAGGAAACCAGTTCTGAAGAATTATTTAGTATCTGGCCCTCACAGCAAAGCATGGCAAGCTCCCCGTGACATATTCGATATGCCAAACACAGTAACAAGTCTCAAAATGTTACTGGCCCCGAGGGAGCAAAACAACGGGAGGACAGGCCAGGACAGTTCTTTCTTCAAAGCTAGCTTGAAGGGGTGGAGGAGTAAAAAGGAAGTTATTATACCAGGTCAGTGGAGAGAGTAGAGCCAGTAAGGCTCTTGCCTTGCATACATGCATCTGCCTGTGTTTAATCACCAGTTTTCTATAAGGTCCCCTGAAACCCTCCAAAAGTAGGAAGCACTGAGCACTACCGGATGTGACCCAAAAACAGAAACAAAAACAAAAATCAAAGGATATGTGGTCAAACATTCTAATTAGGTAAGGAACTCAGGAAACAAACAAACACACTGAACACATTAGGGATGCATAAAGAACACACAGAGAGCACAGAGGATTTTTAAGTACGAAGATGTGAAGAGCTACATTACACATCAGACTCTTAACGAATCCTACTCCCTAATGCCTAGAAGGCCCTGGGTAGGAAGTACATAGGGCATCAGCACTGGCAGCCTTCAGGGAGTTTACCATTTAAATAGTTCGTCTTATTGGATGGGTATTGTTTGAATATGCTTTCCCATTCTGTAGACTGTCTTCGTATTCTGGTCACTATATCTTTTGAGGTGCAGAAGCTTCTTAATTTAAGATAGTCCCATTTGTTTATCTCTGTTTCCACTTGGTTGGTCAGTGAAGTGTTATCTTTGAAGATACCGTTAGCCTCAGTATCGTGGAGGGTTTTGTGAAACTTATTTTCAATGTACTTTATGGATTTTGGCCTGATGTTGAGATCTTTAATCCACTTTGATCTGACTTTTATGCATGGTGTCAGGTCAAGGGCTAAGCCCATTTTTTTGCATGTGGTTGTCCAGTTATGCCAGCACCATTTGCTGAAGAGGCTTTCCTTGCTCCACTTCACATTTCTTGCTCCCTTATCAAAGATTAGATGTTCATACATTTGGGGTTGTGTGTACAGATACTCCACCCTGTTCCATTGGTCTGTGGCCCTGCCTTTTTTCCAGTACCATGCTTTTTTAATTATTACCACTTTGTAGTAGAGTTTGAGGATGGGGAGGGTAATGCCTCCCCACATCTATTTCCCAAGAATTGCTTTAGCTATTCGTGGACGTTTGTTGATATCAAGGATATACAAATCACTGGTTCAACTCCACAAGAAGAAAACATCCAACCCCATTAAAAAATGGGGTAATGAACAGAACTTTCTCAAAGAAGAAATTCGAATGCTAAAAGGCTCTACATCACTAATCATCAGGGAGATGCAGTTCAAAACAATGAGATAACATCTCACACCACAGAGACTGGCCCACATCCAAAAGAACAAAAGCAACCAGTGTTGGCGCAGATGTGGGGAGAAAGGGACTCTCCTTCACTGCTGGTGGGAATGCAGAGTGGTTCATCCCTTTTGGAAAACAGTATGGACGATTCTCAAAAAATTACAAACTGAGCTGCCATTTGACCAAGCAATACCATCCTGGGAATATATCCCAGAGAGGCAAAAAGGTACAGTCGAAATGACATCTGCAAGGGGTAAGGTGCCACCAGCAGGTCAATCTGTACCTATGAGGCGAGTGCATCAGCAGCCTGATGGTGCCTTCAGACCTCCAGACACCCCAAAATTGCTGTTGTGCCTTTGGCCAGACCCCAAAAATTTGGGGCAAAGTTTACCAAGAAAGTAAACGTTAAAAATTAGGTATGTGGGACACAAACCCACAAACCACCTCTGGCTCAGCTATATAATTGGAGGCATGGCCTCTCTGGTTCCTGATTGAACTGCTTAACGGCCATGATCCCAGAGACTCAGAAACAAATCTCGAAACTCAATGGCTTTTGGCAGAAATGCGTCCAATTCCTGCAGTAAGTTACAGACGCTGAGTCACCCCAGGTGTGAATAGGTTTCGTGCCTTGGCCTGTTCTCCCTGGCAGCCTAATGGCTGCCATCCTCCAGAGGCCACTGAACAGTCAGGTTTGGGCCTGCAGTGATGAGACACGCAGGGCCTCACAGGATGGGGGTGGAGCTGGCCCTTTCCTCCTCGTCCCAACGAGACCCCGAGTCACTGCCCACAAATGGCCTCTATGGCTCCTTATCAAACTGCTTAATGGCCATGATCCCAGAGACTCAGAAACAAATCTTGAAACCCAGTGGCTTTTGGAAGAAATGCATCAGGACCGCGCAGTAGGTTACTATCGCTGGGCCACCCGAGCGGGGAAAGGGTGCTGTCCCTCCGCCTGCTCCCCTTTGGCGGCTTGGTGGCCACCCTCCTCCAGAGGTCATTGGATAGTCAGGTTTGGGCCCGCAGTGACGAGACACACAGGGCCTCACGGGATGGGGGTGGAACCGGCCCTTTTCTCACCGTCCCAACAAAACCCTGAGTCGCCACCAACAAACAGCCTCTCTGGCTCCTGATCAAGCCATTTAATGGCCATGATCCCAGAGACTCAGAAACAAATCACAGAACCCAGTGGCTTTTGGCAGAAATGCATCCAGTCCCTGCAGTAGGTTATCAGCACTGGGCCACTCCAGGTGGGAATAGGTTTCGTGCCTTGGCCTGTTCCCCCTGGTGGCCCGGTGACCGTCATCCTCCAGAGGCCATCCTCCAGAGGATTTCAAGAACAAATCTTGAAACCCAGTAGGTCTTAGCAGAAATTCCTCCAGATTTAATTGTTAAAATTTCGGAATTTCAAAATCTAGCAGCCACTACTGCAGCCATGCGACATCATGTGTTATTCATAACCAGCAATAGAAAACAAATTGTCTACTGTTGCTTTTTCAGCAGATCTGAGTGTTGGGGTAAAATCCCAAATAATAATGGTGGGTCTGGTGTCAAAATATTGAATGTAATCAAAGTAGAGAGAGAGTAATGTGGAAGAAATCATCTACCCCAAAGGTAGGGGAAGGCTGTGAGATGGGGGTATACTGGAGTTTTTGGTGGTGGAGAATGGGCACTGGTGAAGGGACAGGTGTTTCACTGTATGACCGAGACTTAAACCTGAAAGCTGTGTAACTGCTCTCACAGTGATTCAATAAATAAAATTATAAAAAATGAAAAGAAAAAAAACTAAGGTGGAGTTTATGCCCAATTCATTCAGCCTAATCAGTGGATGAAAAAAACAGCAGTATTCCTACACACACACACCCCCCCCAAAAAAAATAAATAAATGACATCTGCACTTTTATGTTCATTGCTGCACTGTTCACAATAGCCAAAATCTGGAAAAAACCCGAGTGGTAGAGAACAAATGACTGGTTAAAGAAACTTTGGTACATCTACACAATGGAGTACTATGCAGCTGTTAGAAAAGATGCACTGTAGCACCGTCCTCCCGTTGTTCATCGATTTGCTTGAGCGGGCACCAGTAACGTCTCACAACTTGTTGTTACCAGTTTTGGCTTATCAAATACGTCACGGGTAGCTTGCCAGGCTTTGCCATGCGGGTGAGATACTATTGATAGCTTGCCAGGTTCTCCGAGAGGGGTGGAGGAATCAAACACGAGTTGGCTGCATGCAAGGCAAACGCCCTACCTGCTATTACTCCAGCCCCCAAAGATGAAGTCAAGAAATTTACATAAAAGTGGTACTACATGGGAAAAAATCATGCTAAGTGAAATGTATCATGCTTAGTGAAATGAGTCAGAAAGAGAGGGACAGACATAAAAAGACTGCATTCATCTGGGGAATATAAAGTAACAAAAGAGGAGACTAATACCCAAGAATAGCCGAGATAAGTACCAGGAGGTTTACTCCATGGCTTGAAGGCCTGCCGCACATGCCAGGGGAAAAGGCAGCTCAGATAGAGAAGGGAGCACCAAGTAAAGGGTGTTGGGAGGATCCTCCCAGGATGGGAGATGCATGCTGAAAGTAGACTATAGACCGAACATGATTGCCACTCAATGCCTCTTGCAAAACAGAACAAACACCCAAAAGGAGAGAGAGAACAAAAGGGAATACCCTGCCACTGAGGCGGGGTGGGCTGGGGGGATGGGGGGTGGGAGGGTTACTGGGATCACTGGTAGTGGAGAATGGGCACTGGTGGAGGGATGGGTATTCGATCATTGTATAACTGAAACCCAACCACAAAACACCACTTCTGAAACAAATGATACAGACCCAGGCTGGAGAGACAGTACAGCAGGTAGGGAGCTCCTATATGCTCCATCCAGTGTCTACCTCAGCACCCTATGTGGTTCGCCTGAGCACCACGCACCATCAGAAGTGATCCCTGAGCAAAGATAGTTCTAATAGCTAGAGAACAATCTCTGCATTCAGAAGCTCAGGGTTCACTCCCTGGCACCATATGATGCCCCAAACACCTCTAAGGAGTGGGATTCCTCAGTGCTACTGAGTATGGCCCTACAAAAATAAATAATTTTTAAAAATGGTATAAAAGTATAAAGATGTGATTTTTTTACTTACTTGCTTTCTTATGTAGTAACTTGTGAGTAGCCCAGCTTCCTTTAAAACATTCCTAAAAGAATAAACATGAAAATCACTGTCAGGTATTAAGAAATATTTTAAGAAACAATAAATAAAAGAAATAGTTATTGGGGCTGGAGTGATAACACAGCGGGTAGCGTGTTTGCCTTGCACGCGGCCAACCCGGGATCGATTCCCAGCATCCCATATGGTCCCCTGAGCTACCACCAGGAGTAATTTCTGAGTGCAGAGCCAGGAGCAACACCTGTGCATCGCCAGGTGTGACCCCAAAAGCCAAAAAAAAAAAAGTTATTGAAAACCATTTGCAAAACCTGGAAACTATTTTCAAATATTTGAAAACCTTAAGAAATGACACATTTAAAATTTCACTTCGGGGGCCGAAGTAATAATACAGCAGGTAGGGCATTTGCTTGCATGCAGCTGACCTGGGTTTAGATTCCCAGCATCCCAGATGGTCCCCCAAGAACCGCCAGGCCTAATTCCTCAGTGTAGAGCTAGGAGTAACCCCTGAGTATCACCAGGTGTGGGCGCCTCCCCCCCCCCAAAAAAAAGTTTCATTTCAGAAATTTTAAAAAGAAGAGGCTTTGCTTCCAAGCTCATGTGTTCTCTTGAACATCTCTTTCTCTTTCTCCCACACAAACACTGTCCTCCCGTTGTTCATCGATTTGCTCGAGCGGGCCCAGTAACGTCTCCATTTTGAGACTTGTTGTTACTGTATTTGGCATATCGAATACGTCATGGGGAGCTTGCCAGGCTTTGCCGTGCGGGCGAGAAACTCTCGGTAGCTTGCCGGGCTCTCCGAGAGGGGCGGAGGAATCGAACCAGGCTCGGCAGGGCTGGCTGCATGCAAGGCAAAAGCCCTATCCGCTGTGCGATCGCTCCAGTCCTTCTCCCATACATCTCTGTCAATGAAAATATTTTTTAAATAATAATTAAAACATAAATAAGCAAGTGGTACCAGAGAGAGTCCAGCAGTGAAGGCGCTTGCCTTGCACATGGCTATCCCAGGTCCAACCCATAACACCACTGGATCCCGGGAGCACTGAGCCCGGAGCCCAGAGCTTACTGTTGGGTGTGGCTCAAAAAACAAACAAAATTGAAGAATAAGTAAATAAATAAGCAAGAAACATTAGGCCATATTTTAAATAACAATCAGTCATGCTTTAATTTTATCACAAATTTATTTTGAAGAGTCATAAGCAAAGTAATATGGCCCCTGAGATGTGCCAAAAGTGACATATAAGAGCCAGCAATATGCCCTGAGTACAGCCAGGTGTGACCCAAAAACAAAATTAAAAAGAAAAATTCAGATTCTTCTTTTACTGATTCCCAGTAAGTTACCTCCACGGAGGAGCAGTACATGGCTGTCAGCAGTTAAGGAAAAGCTGTACCAAGGTACAGGGAGCTTCTGTTTTCTTCTGGGAGCAGGCGTCACACCCAGCAGTGCTTGGGGACCATGTGATGCCAGGGAACAAAACCATAACTCCACATGCAGTTGCGCAACCGCCCCCCACCCCTCCCAACCCCCACCAACTGATGTTTTGGGGGTAGGGGGCATACCCAGTGGTGTTCAGGGTTTACTCCTGGCTCTGCATTCAAGAATTACTCCTGAACATGCAAAGCAAGTATCCTACGTGCTATACTATATCATCTATATCACTCTGACCCTATAGATGACTCCACATAAAAAACACTTTTTTTTCTTTTTGGTCACATCCAGAGTTGCTCAGGGGTTACTCCTGGTTTTACACTCAGGAATTATTTGTGGCAGTGCGCTGGGACTATATGGGATACTGGGGATAGATCCCAGGTTGGGTGTAAGCACCTTACCTGCTCTTGTTACCGCTCCAATCCCATTTAAATACCCTTTGGATACACGAGTCTATGATTACAGATGAGATTACAAATTCTTAGAAATTAAAAAATGGGGACTAGAGAAATAGTACAGCAGGCAGGGAGGTTGCCTTGCACGTGGCCAACCATAGTTCGATCCCTGGCATCCCATATGGTCCCAGGCAATACTAGGAGTAATTCCTCAGTACAGTCAAGTGTAATTCCTGAGTTTTGCCAGGGTATGGCCCAAAATCACACCAAAAAATTTAAAAAATGAATTAATTTATTAAAAAAATAATTTAAAAAGAATTAATATCTCAAAATATATCTAGCAAAATGACAGACAAGAAATAAGAGATAGTATTTGTTACAAAAGAATGTAACAAGTAAATTAAAGGTAAAGGCCCTCCCATTGTTCATCGATTTGCTCAAGCGGGCCCAGTAACGTCTCCATTGGAGACTTTGTTGTTACTGTGTTTGGCATATCGAATACGTCACGGGGAGCTTGCCAAGCTCTGCCGTGCGGGCGAGGGCGAGATACTCTCGGTAGCTTGCCGGGCTCGTCGAGAGGGGAGGAAGAATCAAACTCGAGTTGGCCATGTTGGCTGCGTGCAAGGCAAACGCCCTACCGCTGTAAAAATTAAAGTTTTAAAAAACTAATCAAAGAAATATATACAGTTCTCCAAAATTGAAAAACAAGTATTTCCAGACTGAAAAGGCCCTAAAGGATAAAAATTAATCTGCCTGAAGCATACAGTAAAAATTCCTTGATACCTGGTGCAAGTAAAGATCAAATGAGTTCTACTCAGAGCATGTGAAGGAGTACATGCCCTAGTGTATCAGATTTCTGAACCACACTGGAAGCACAAAGAAAATGAAGAAATAACATGAGAAAATAATTTCCAAATGAGAATTCTATATGCAGCCAAACTCAAACTCAAGTATCAGGGACTAAGACATTTTCATATTTGCAGAACTATAGGCCCAACAGCAGGTAGGGCATCTGCCTTGTAAGCAGTTGACCTGGGTTTGATCCCCAGCATCCCATAGTGTCCTCTGTGTACCGCCAGGAGTAATTCCTGAGTACAGAGCCAGGAGGATCCCTTGAGCACTGCTGTCTATAGCCCAAAAAACTAAACAAATAAAATTATGTTACCTAAATTGAGTCAATTCCACTGAATCAATTCCTGCAGTATGATTCTTAACCTTTTGAGAATCTTGGGAAAGCAATCAAATCACTCTCCACATGAAAAAAACATCCCTGCACATACAGACATGGACTCACGATTCTAATCACTCACACAAGTACAGAGACAGAAACTGATCCAGAACTGAACTTGTGTTCCCCAGTAAACTACACTGGCAGATTCCTGCCTCGAAACAAATACTTATGCAATAAACTATACTTAGTCTTGCAGGCTAAGAACAAAATGCACATCTGCTGTAAGAAGTAGGAATAAATCGGGTAAGGATTCAGTCCAGTCTGGTAACAACATAAAGTCATTAACGGAGTTACAGACCCCCATGATAAAGAACAGTCAATAAAGACAAGTTCATCCATAGCACCATGGACCTCCCTCCCCAAACACAAATCTAAAACTATCTTTTGAGGTTGTTAAGGGATGTGGTTCAGTGATAGAGCATTTGCAAGCAAACACACACACACACTTTCCCCAGGGGGTACCGGGGCAGAGGGTGGGGACAGCTTGAGGCAGGGAACACTGGCAGAAGGAGGTTCTGGTGCTGAAAGATTAAATGCAAGAAAGCCTACCATTATAGTAGTGTAAGTCACGGAGCCTAAAATAAATAGTTTCTTCCCTTAAGGATACAGAAAATGGCCCTTGGAGAACTCCACAAAATGGCTTTTCATTGGGGTATAGAGCAATGAAAACAGACATGCATCCCTGCAAAGCAACAACTTCCTGACCAATAGCAAAAGCCAGGAGAATGCTGTGGCTTTCAATTTGTCAAAATATTAAAAACTCTTACTGTCAGCCACAAATAAACAGGGGACTAAAAAAGAGGGTGAAACTAGTATTTGCTTAATGCTCTATAAGCATGAAAAAAACTGAGAATTAAAATGTTTCATTTAGTTGAAAGCTCTTCGAGATGAAACTGAATGTTTGATCACCCACTCCTATATGTTCCATGTCTGCAGACACTGGTTTTATTTAAACAAATTGCTAACAAAATTCATGCCCATCAAACTGCAAAATGTGATCTGCCTTTATACTTGGGAACCTAATACAACCTATTTATAAAGCTTTTCTAAATAGATTATGTGAACAGAATACTTTTGCATCACCCAGTGTCTTTTTTTACCCTCAGAGTGCTGACACGGATTTCCCTAAATAAAAATGTCCTCTCTATCCCAACTGATTCACTTGGAGAACGTACAGGTTTTAGTTTTGTCTTCTGCTTAGAAGGCACACCCAGATGTGCTCAGGGCTTACTCCTGGCTCTGTACTCGGGGGTTACTCCTGGCAGTGCTTAAAGGGCAAAACGCAGTGCCAAAGATCAACCCCAGGTCAGCCACATGAAAGGCAAGCATCTTACCCCTTTCCTATTTCTGCAGCCCCAGAACACACAAGTTTTTATAAAGTTAGATCAAGAAGTAGGTGGGAAGAAACCATCATGGAAAAGAGAAAAACTTGTTTAACATATTACAAAAATTAGCTTATTTGCCTCTGTGTATATGCGTGCGCGTGCAAACATGTATGCTTTTCGGTACACATCAAAAAAGTGTCCCAAAAGCCCAGGGGCTTCTCCTGGTTCTGTGCATGGGGACTGCTTCTGGCGGTGCTCAGCAAACTATGTGTGGTGCCGGGGACTTTAACCACGGTCAGCCATGTGCAAAGCAAGCACTTTGCCTCCTGTATTCTGTCTTCAGCCCCTACAGGAGATTCCTGGCAACTACAGGGGAAGACTAAACACAGGGCGTGAAGATACTTGCTCTCAGATCCTACAGTGCCAAGGACTCGCCCACTAAGGCCATCCCAGGTCTCTACCCAGCAGGGCCCAAGAGGACACATGGTAGAAACACAAAAAAAAAAAAAAAAAAAGAGGACACATGGTGCCAGGGAAAAATGGGTTATGGGTTGGGCATAAGCAAAGCATGCCCCCTAAACCCTATACTATCTCCCCAGCCCAACCCAACAATGTTCCTCTTGGACAGATTCTTTTTTGTTTGTTTTGGGG